TGTGAGCAGAATAGAAGGAGCAGGAGCAGCTATTGACCGCAGCGGCACAGGCGAGCCCTGCGCTGCCAGGGGAAGCCACATAAAAGCGCCGGGTGTGTGTCTGGGGGAGGGCGCAGCGAGGGGTGATGCCTGGAGCTTCCTGCACTCGGAGCTGCGATTTGTGAGTGAAACATGATGAAATCGCCCCCTGGACAAATCACACGAGCCTGTCAACCTCACCAGGTGGGATTACTCGTAGCTAATAGCCCGAACTCCCCGAGCAAACAGAGCTCTGCTCTCATTATAAAGAAAAGGCGACGGGCGGCGCAGGCTTTTCAAGAATTCCCTAGGATGGCTAAGCAGGGCTGCGTCCACTCGCACCAGGTAGGGGAGGAGAGGAGCGTGTTTGCTTTTCGAGGAGGAGTAGCCCTCCTCTCCTGAATAAATTGCTACAAAAAGGAGCGTTTCAGCTTCAGAAAGAGATGTTTTATTCATAAACCCCTTCTGGTTTGTGTTACTCTCCAACGGTGACGCTGCTGCTCCAGTGATGGGAACTGCAGTGCTGGGGAGCTCGAATGTACAGAGGACCATCTCTGCCCTTTATGCATAGTGCTCTTAGTGCAAAACTCCTGCTTCTTGCACCGTTTGCTTACTTTGCTGTTTTACTTCTGCAGGTTATATCCTTATTCGCTTTTGCCTTCGGAGTAAATGTCTGCATGGGATTTACAGCAAATCGTTTTAGGAGGTCTGAAGAATGGGATGAGGGCCCGGTCTCAGGTACAGTAACGGACATAAATTGTACATTGCCATACTCTTATGTTATAGACTGTGGTTAGAAACCACTCCTACTCCGTAACAGTAGTTTGCTTGTTCCTTTTCCCTCTAGGATATAGAGAAGAATAAATAACTCGCTGAGACTGAGTCAGTTGACCTTTGGGACTCACCTATAGGTCTCCTATTTACTTAAACTTTTGCTCTGTGTGCATGTGACTATGGAAAATTTAGCTTATTTTAGGACTGAGCACTGTCAGTCTCACACAGACCAGTCTCATCAGCTCTTCCAAAATGTTTGCCATGTTTTGTACTCTGCACAGTTTCCTTCAAGAGCTAAGAGAAACTCCCCGGTGGGTTTAAGGGTACTGGGTTTATTTTGGTAGCCATTGAAGCGGTTTCTAGAAACTTGATTAATGCTTTCAAGAGGCGCTGGTGAGAAAAGCTTTTGGGATTTCTGTGGCTCCTGAGGTCATGCTGGTTTGTGAACAGTAGACGGCAGACATCTGACGGCGGAGAGGGCCGGGAGAGGAGAGCAGGTGTTCACGCAGATGTGCTGTCACCGACTCCTCTGTTTTTTCTTTTGCCTCCTACTTTTTTCTTTGGAATGGAGCAAGAGCATGCCACAGAAGGAATTGTTGTTTGTGTTCTGGGTCAGTATAGGGTTTTGTGAGCTCAGGCATAGTCCAGATATAAAAATATGTACAACGGAAAACTAGTCTTTTTTTTTTTTTAAAAAAAAAAAGCAGGGTTGACTTGTGTCTCTGTTCCTTTGGCAAGAAAAAGGAAACCTGTGGTCATTGACTTAGAGCTGGTTAAACTGACTGAAGCGAAAGGGTTTCATTTGCAATGCCCGTCTGTAATGATAGCTTGTGAATTTAAAGTATAAAATTGTTTACCGTGGCCAGAGTTTGTTGTGTTCCCGGTAATGTGTCTGTGTCCTTCTGTCCCCTGTCTTTCACTGGAATTGATGTCTAATCACAGCCACAGTCAGGGCTGCTGATCACTGAGCAGAGGCATTTCAGGTAATCAGCAGCTAGTGGCTGTTGCTTTTGGTCTTTGTATATCAGTAAAAAAACTTGCTTGAAAAACTAATTTCTTTCCTTTCTTTTTTTGTAAATTTTGTTTTTGTTTTCTAGTATGGTAACTGTAGAGCGGCTGTGTAGTGTGTAACAGTGAAGGGAAGGATTTGCATTTCAAGGGTTCGACACCTGACTGCCAGTTGCTTCGCTGTCCTGGTGACTGTCTAGGCTCTAGATCAGAGCTGCTCGGCTGGTTTTTACTGAAGTCCCAAAGGTCTGATACTGGGGACCCACTGCGTCTGGTCGGTGTCAACTCTGCTGAGCCAACCAGCTCTGTTCAGTGCGGCCAGGGCTGGGATCAGTAGCTATGTGCTGTTTCCAATAGCAGGAGGATTAGCGCAGCATTCCAGAAAAGTTGGAAGAAATACATGATCTCTTGCATGAGGGCAGGAGATGAGGTACTTTTGGAAGTCTTGAGAATTTGCTTACAGGTGGGATTGGCCCAGCACCTGACATTGAAGTAGTCCAGTCCAACAACGAGAGACAAAGTAATGAAGGGTTTTGTCCATTCTGTGTTAATGCAACTTTGTTACTTTTATTGCAGTTTAAAGATAGAAAAAATAAAAGGAATAAAGTATTAGGATCACATCTGTCTAAAGGAGACAGTAAAAAGTTACACTGAAGTGGTGCTTTTTTTTTTAACAGTAAGAGCACTGTGATCAAAGTTGCTCCTTATTGTATGACTTTGTTACCTTTCATTAGAAGTCCAGTGCAGTAGAATAGCCAGAATAAAAGATTGTAATCAAATATTTTTCAGCTTCACTCTTCCTTAGCCTAGTTATTTTCAAGTTTCTTGGTGTTTGGAGCTAATTATTTTAGATGGACAAAACACTCTTTACCAAGCATTACTGTAGAAGCCAGTTTGTTATTTCTCCAGAGGTATACCATGTTTGTAAGTAAATTTGAGTTTTCATATAGCACAGAACTCTGCTGTGAGCCAAAAACATTTTTTTGTTTTCCTAGTACCTTATAAATGCATGTCAAAGTACCACCATAATGCCCAAAATCCCCTCTTGTTCTCTTTTTACTGTGTAGAGATATGTCTTTATACATTTGAGATGTTTAATATTTGTACTCAACAAATTATTTAATTTAAATAATTTTTTTACATTAAAATCATAAAATTTCTGAAAGTCATTAGAGAACCAAGGCTCACATTTTTCATAACTTTGCCTATAAGTTATTTGCGTTATGGGCATTTTAGCCATCTTTTTAAGCACTTTCAGGGAAAATACCCTTAGCAATCTCTTGAAGTGTGTTTCTTGGTCATGATAGGATAACTTATGCTTTGGAAGAAGAAATATAGAAGTTTTTCTATCCCTTCTCACTGGATTTTTCAGCACATCATTAAAAATTACCTTTCTTGTATTGGAACAGTTAGGGTGTATTTTCTCCTTTGTCTTATTTTTCATTGACATTTTACTCATTGCAATGACATTCTGCAAAAATGAAATGCAAGTTCATAATATGAATACTATCTAGCAAAACTGGTGCTCCAGATGTTATATGTATAAGTATTTGGTTGTTCCATGTAGGTTCTATATGGGATCCATAGGATCCAAAATGGCAAACTATTACCAGGTAGTCTCCTTCCTATGATGATGGTGTAAGGATGCCTATGTTCTGTAGTCCTGTGTCTTAAACACTATTGGAAATTAAATGGCTTTGATTTTTTTTTTTTTTTACAAAAATATTGTCATCAGAATCAAAGGAATTAGTTTGGTATGGCACTTTCTAAGATAAATGTAACACCTATACAGTGGAGTGTAATAACCTCCATGGACTGAACCACAAAGGCACTATTGCCCTGTGCAACTTCGCTCTCTAACCTGTAACATAAAAGACAAGTAGATGGTTGCTTTGAGCTTAGTTGGCAAAGAAAAGGAATATATGGAAAAGGATGTGAGAAGTTTTGTGTATTAAATGACATGAGAATCTTCACGTTGACCCTCTGCCTGTTGCACAGTCTGAATGCAGGAGCTGCGGAAGGAGGGATGCAGGAATTTCGAAAATATTTCTAAAATTTTCTAAGCTTGTTCAGTACAGCAGTTTCTGCTCATTTGAAAATGTTCACCAGGGGTGGAGCTCTTGATATGTTTTCAACAATTTTGCATGCACCAGTACCCATGTCATGGCATTGTGCACGACCTGAAAATCATGGTCTTGCACATGGTTGCAAGGGCAAGGTTAAGCATGGTAAACAAATGAGCAATATTGATGTATTCAGAGAAATTAACCAAGTCCTCTTTTGTGTTATGATATGGAAAGGGTGCTGCATGGACACAGAAGGTGAGACTTGAATTTGCTAAGTGATTTGGGATAATTTGTCACATCAGTAATGAGGTGGTTGTCAAGATACATGAAAAAAATGACAGGGTAGCTGGAGTAAACCTTCTTAGGTGAAATGGAAACCCTACTTGCAGTTATAGAAGATGGAGCTAGAGGGGACCTTGAACAGCTATGTAGACCTTCTCTATATCCCACATCATGGTCAGTTACTACTGAAGTGCTCCTGACAGATCTTGGCCTAACCTGTTCTTCAAAAATCTCCAAGCTCAGAGATTGCACAGCCTCTGTGGGTAATTTGTTCTTGTGGTTACCTGATAAATGAGCTGCTCTTTACAACAGGGTAGGCATTCCTTGAACTGTGGTTAACTGTCTCTTATGTAATCTGCAGTCAGATTTACAATTTCTCTTTCCTAAACACATGCTGTCATGTTTTTTTGACCTTCTGAAAAGACCTCCCTCTCAGCCCTTTGAAATGAAGAGGGAAATTCCAGTGTAAGGGTTATATGCTAGTATGTAATACCTTTGAGTTCATAACACCTTTGATTTGCAGCTTACTGGATCTGTGGTTATATAATACCTAGCTTCCAAGAGAGAAAGTAATGGAAGAGGTTAAATAGCATGGAAATATTTTTGGTTACACATTTTCGGAAGCGATTTGGCAGGAAACAGCTGTCATTAAAAATAAAGGATGAGACTTCATAGCTCTGAAAATTTGAGTGTTAGCATGCTTTGAAACAATTCTCATGTGATTAATTTCTAACATAGCTTTGTGACCTATTTATGTGAGCAAAGAAAATACTGGTCTGTGTATTGCCAGCATAATATGCAACTTTTAGCCCCGTGTAATTTCAGGTGGGCAGAATATTGGTGTTTCATTAAGAGCATGCATGCAGGGTATGTCCTTGTAGAGTGTAACTTCACTGTGTGTGTGATGTTTATTGCCCTGAGCATTGCTGACCTGATTGAAAAAAACAAAAAACCCCACAAAAGCAGAAAGACAGTTGTCTACTACTAGCTTTTCCAGCAGTCGTATGAGTGTGCCTTGACATTGCCATGATCCATGACTGCAACCATGGCTAGTTTGAGTTTCTTACCTATGATCTTGATTTGCTGCCAGGTTTACTCCCTGAAGTGGTTTGTCCTGGTGTCCAACCAGTGCCAGTGCCACTCCAAGGAAAGTGATGGAGCAGTAGTGCTGAGGATGGGAGCTGATGGGACATCAGTTACTACAATGTCACCTCCAGACTCCTCCTTCATCTTCTTTTCCATCCATTCTCATAGTGTTTAGTTAACGCCATCTTGTTGGGGAAGAGATTTACGTGGAGACTAACCTTTCGGCTGTGTAAAAGTGTAGGGGAAAATATAAGTAAATATCAGAGCAACTATTGCCCAACAGTGCCATTGTGTCAATCGTCTTAAAATCCTGCTCATCATGATGAGGTTTGCCAAAACCAAACCATGGCCTAAAAGAAAACAAAACCCAAAACAATTTCAAAGACTTCATTTCAATAGGTCTCTCAAAGCACAAAAGACATCAAATTTTCCTTGGAACACCTCTTTGTTTAAAGAATATCATACATTTGTTATCTTATTTAATAAGATACAATTAGCCCTAGAGAATAGGACACAATTTTCCTACGTAGGGTTTTGTTATAGGAAAAGAGCAGACACATATGTATCAGCTTCGACAGTAAGGGCCCTTACTAATAAATAGGTTATTGAAGTCTAATACATTATTCATGGTTTCTAGACTGGCAGTCCTTCATTTACTTATACACATAATTATATATTAATTTCTTAAATACTTCTATATTTTTAAAGTTTTTATAATTTGGTGCTCTGCAGAAGTCCACCAAAAAGCCTTGCTTTATTTCTCTGTTAATTTATAGACCATCTTACAGGTTTTTTTCACACTTCACATTGATTTGATGCCTTCTAGTATAGCAAACCAAGTCCTGCTGACTGCATGTAGATTAATTGCAGTCCTTTCCTATGCAAACTGCCCAGCCAGCCATGAAAATGTCACTTGGTTTCTGAAAACAAAGGCCTGCTTCTGTGGAATTGCTACAGCTCCTGGAATGGGGCCTTGGAGACTTCAATACATTTCTGCTAATGATCTCTTGATTGTTACAGAGGTAAAGCCAGAGCTGTTTCTTTGCAGGGTGTTATCACAGCATGCTGCTTCCTTATTTTTTTCCTCCCCAAAAAGAACAACTTTTTTGGAAATTGTTGGGTTTTTTGGGGGTGTTTTTTTCTTTTCTCTCCCTTTTCCTCTCCCTTCTCCTTTCCCAGAGCAGGCAGCAGAGGTTTTACTCATTCAAGTGGCTTGAGGCTGAGCCGCTTGTCCCACCTCTGCTGGCCTCACAGATGTTGCCCTGTTTCTTGTTCCACACAGTCCTGTCAGATTCCCCCTGGATCAGTACCTCTGGCTCCTGCAGAAACAGATGCTTTGAACTTCAAGAGGCAGAGCCTCCTGGCTGCCGCTGTGACAACCTGTGCAAGAGCTACAACAGCTGCTGCTTCGACTTTGATGAGCTGTGCTTAAAGACAGGTATGATGGGTCTCCTGTCCTGCACTGTCAGGCACTGCTGACACCTGGTTTCTGCCAGTGGTCAGGACCTGCCTGATAAACCAGCACTCCCTGCCATAACCTGCATCTCCTCCTCACCTTGCCTTGCTGGGCAGACTCAGCTCAGCCCAAAATGCAGCCTGTATTTCTTGCAAGGAGCAGTAGGAATGTGCACCTATTGCTCCTCACTGCAAGAGCAGAAAAAGCAGAGTACTATTCATACTTCATGACAAGTAGATCTTCTGATATTCAATTAAAAGCAATAATCAGTGTTCAGGCAGCAGTTTGATGTCCAGGTTACAACTAAAAGCTGTGGTAAAGACTGGAGACTTGTCATTTTGTGTCAGCAATACTTTTTCCTCTCAAGCGATAACTTAATATTGGAGCAATTCAGCCTTGCTTGTGGTCTGTGCATTGTGGTTACTTGAGAAAGGTGCCTTGGAAGCTGGGAGCATTGAAAGGACACAGGTCCTCTTGGAGCAAGCTTCAGGTGACAGTCTGGGCTTGCTACCTGCCCCCCAGACTGATTTCCAGATGTCAGGATGCATATAACACACTGGTAGAAGCATTTGATTTCAATTCGTTGGACTCTGGGGAATGGAAGTACAGCAGTGTGGCTTTCCTTTTAATGAGTCATAGGCAAGGAAAACTTCAAAGAGGGCCATTAGTTATGTTTTACTTAGCACAGTGCATTTAAATTATTAGTTGTACCCATCTCCTTGAGTGTTTGCACAGTGGTCAGAGTTGACACAGGTGCCTTCTACTTTTGCCATTAAACTTTTTCTTGCTTTTTTGAAGTATTATATTTGCTGAGCATCCAGAAAACTGCAATGATTAAAAGTATCATTGCCCATGGATGTACCGTACTTGAAAGTCCTGAATTCCTCAGTTCTGTTTATGATTGTATCATTTTCATAGCTTGGTACCAAAAAATGGTGAGCTAATTTGGTATGAAAACCAATTTTGGTTCCAGATCAAAAATTTTGAAGCTGATGTTCTTTCACCCCTAGTGTAAATGATTGCAAAATGAGAGGCTCTTCTTGAAGACTTCCAGCAAAATGTCTGCTACCAAATGGCAGGTTCTCAGTTTCTCAGCTTCCCATCTGTAGCAGACATGTATTTTCACATATGCATATGGATGCCTGCATAGTCCTTGGGTCTGTTGTGCTAATTGTCATATACTCCCATAGGCATTTATTCAGGGAATTCACATGCATAATCTGTAAATATTGCATACTTACATAGAAAAGTCTCAAATGAAGGAGAAAAGGGGATAAAAGACATTGCTGTGATGTGGTGTGGACTGGATGCATTTTGTTTAAAGTGATTTTTAAAGTTTCTTGGTTGGGCCAGGATGTAGAAAACCGTAGGCTTAAATTCACAGGCCCTGTTCCACAGTGTAGCAATGTACTACCCTTGAAAGAGCACCCAGTTTAGACAAGCTCTTAGCTACAACTTCATTTGCAAGATGAGAAGAGTTGGAGTGTTTTACAATAGCCATGCCATGCTTGTCCTTGATCAACAGCCCTGGTTTTCTCGTAATGCTGCAGTTGGTGTTGAATCTTGCACTGTGGGTGAGGAACTGATGGGAGTAAGGCATCAATTTTCATTGACACAGTCCCTTTTTTACTTTCTCTTATTTTCTATGGATTGAAACTGGGGACTGTAGTAGTAGTGAGGAAAAGATTACCCAAGAAACACCAGAATTCTTAGTTTGTCCTTGAGGCTGACCATCAGTTTTTGTCAAGATCCCTTTTTGTCTTTCGCTTTGCACACTTTTTGGCATTCAGGTTGTACAAAGCCTAGAATACAACAAGTGAAATACAGGTGTGTTGGGTGGAGGAGCTCTCCTTATGACTTGAAAGTCATAAGGTCCTTTTTATTTCTGATTGACATGCCCACTTCAGAGGTTTTGAAGTCACTAAAAGGTGCCATAAACTTTACATCCAACTTTAAGGACTAGAGTGTTATCATCATGGCTTGAGTGAGTACTTTTGATTTGATTACAGTATCTCTTTCTTACTTACCTTGTGAATACTTTAGCTAGGGGCTGGGAGTGTACCAAAGATCGCTGTGGAGAAACCAGGAATGATGACAATGCTTGTCACTGCTCTGAAGACTGCTTAAGTAGAGGAGATTGTTGTACTAATTACCAAGTCATTTGCAAAGGTACGTCTTTGGTCTTTCTGCCTCTTATCTTTCCAAACTCAATAAAAGGTAGCCCTGTGGGTAAGGAGTTTTCTTCTAAAGGAGGAACACTCTCCTTGTTATGTTCTGATTTTTTTTGGGGGTGGGGGGAGAATGGGGAATTGCATTTGTAATTTTCTGGGCACTAACAGAGGTAAATACTTAGAATTTGTTGATCGTAGAAGGATGTTATCTTTGCCTGTAGAGAGAATGATAAAAAGAGAAGTGTAGGTGGATGAAGAAGAGTTTAAAGCGAAACTCTGAAGTGTTCAGATGCATTTGTCTGCATCACAGGGTGAGCAGGAATCTCTGATAGTCTCAGAAGGAGTGGAGCATTTCTAGATATGCTATCTGTCTCAAAGACCTCTGTCTACCCTACCATTAAAGCTCCTGATCAAACTACTTGGCCTAACATCTGTAGGCTTTGTTTCTTGTGGGAGAGGAGTTGCAAGAATAAAAGGGCTATTATTCACAGATGGGTGGCATGGCCACAGAACAGCCTGCACTGGTTGGCGGGTGGATGGGCTGTGAAGGCTTAATTTTCATCCACCACCAGGCTCTTTTAGAGCATATCCTGCCTGTGTAATGTCTGCCATTCAGAGCAGGTCTTCTGATGCTTGGTAATGAGCTCTACGGGTTCTTGCTTTTGTATCCTAGCTAGTTCTTGTTTTTTTCATTCATTAACTTTACTGGGGCAAGGGTTACAGTTCGAAATTTTTCCACGCACACCATTTTGGACAACTGCATGTGTTCACAAAATGGTGATAGTCCAGATCCATACACTGAAAATGGGCTTTTTTTGTTTACTTGAGTTGGGAAATCCACATGAAATACGTATCCTCTAGTCTGCTGTTGGGAATCCACATGAAATACGTATCCTCTAGCAAATCCCCATAGATTGTTCTTCCCTTTCCCCAAAGAAATCCAAGGCTGAGACCACTTAAATACTGGCATAGTTTTTGGTTCCTGCTTTTTTTTGGTGAACTTTCACTCACAAGGGTCAAGACAGAGGAATTTACATCTCTCTGTCTTTAACATACATAATCTTTGTTTAATTGGCTAATAACCAATTATCTCAACGACCCTGGCATTCTGACAATAAGTCATATGTGAGAACTGTTTCCTCTTTATTTGGCTTTTGCCTATCGGAGGCTACTATGTTGGTTTTAGTGTGGGTTGTTTTTTTTCTTGGAAATTGTCCCTCCACCTCCTGTCATGGTCAGTTGGAATTGCTGCAGCACACAGTTCCTGCAGATCTTTTCTATGGTGTTTTTTGTTTTGTTCTTTTAATTGAACTGCAGTTCCTTTAATAGTGCCAGGTTCAGGAAGCGAGGCTCGTTCGTCAATAATTTGTTTTTCAATTGACCTGTGAAAGTGCAAGTCATGAGCCACTCTATAGTCAGCATTCAGCACTGAAAACCTTATGAAAATAGTTGATTACATAAAGTAATTTAAACTAATCTAGCTCTGAAAGAGTATTAATGCCTTTTTTTTAGCCTGAGTCTCACCTGATCCATGAGCTGATCAGCTCTCTAAACCAGCTGGAAACTATTTAGAGTTGTTTTTCTTCCCCAGAATGAATTTTGTTTTGTGCCTTTAGCCAGCTGAATCAGTTCATGGAGACATCAGAGCTGGGGGGAGGAGGGTGGGAATTCACAGCCAGAAGCAGCAGTACCTGGTTTTGACAGATCAAAAATAAAAAAAGTTGAAATAGATGACCACTGTGCCTAAAGCATTACCACTGTCTCCTGCGGTCAAAAGGACACTTTTAACTCGAGTTTTAAGAGCTACTTGTAGGACTGTTAGTTTGGGTATTTTTGTTGAATTGAATATAACCAGATCACTTGTTCAGCTTTGTGAAAAGACCTGCTCATTATTCATGGGAAGTATGACAAGGCAGTCCATTAACTGCAGCTAGACTTTATTTAGTTGATATTTTCTGTGAAGCCTGTAGCTGTGTCCACAGATTATTTTTTTTATTTTTATTTTTTTGACACTCCAATGTGACTTTCCTGGTAGGAGAAACCCACTGGGTGGATGATGACTGTGAAGAGATGAAGGCTCCTGAATGTCCAGCAGGGTGAGTGTTTTGCATGCAACTGCAAAGCCAAATGCAGCAAAGCCAGTGGTCCCCAGCTCTGCCCTGGACCTCTGCCCACCACATTCCTGCATTGGCCCTGTCATGCAGGCTGAATGGCTATGGGTTGGATGTTTTCCTGGGCTTCACTATTTGCACAGTTAGGCTGATAATATTGTAATGCATTTGCCTTTGAGCTGCTTGGTGAGTAGTGATATATGACATATGGGCTTGAACTCTTGGTCTTTGATCACCTGCTGCTGGATTTGCCTGCTTCACATACATGCATAGGAAAGGTAGCCAGACTCCTTTGAAGCCATTGGAAAGGCTTAGGTTGATCTGCTTTCAGTAAAATTCAGGTTAAGCCGTATGTAAACACAGTTCAGGCCACTTTTTTAATGCTCTTAGATGAAAGGATTTCTAAATTGCAATGGGATACAGGCTTGACTTGGTGAGGAGTTTCAGCACATGAGTAACATTGAGTAAGTAAGCAGTTTTGAAACCAATTATTATCCCTAAAGGTAAGCATCTGCTCAGGTGCTGTGCTGGGTTGCAGCTCAGTCCGTGGTGTTAGGAGGATAGTTTGGAGGAGACAGGAGCCCACTCTTCTCCTGGTGACAGTGATGGCTGCTTACCCCTGCAGCAGGTGCCTAACATTAAAAGCCCAGGAGTGTCCATTCATGACATATCTCTGTCTGCTGGGGTAAAGTGTCAGTGGCAGTAATAAATAAAAAATCAAGTAACATGAAACACTGTCGTCTTTAGTATGCGAGAATGAGCTGTGCCCCACAGAACTCAGTCAAAACACCAAGTGAACTTCTGTTTGTGAAGAGAGACCAGTTGTCCCGAGACATGGTTTTTAAATACAGATTGTGTACTTGGTGGGTAGTTATGCATACTACTTTTTTTCCTTCTTCTGTAAGCACTTTCCTTTTTGAGCAATAAATTTTCAGCTGCTTAAGGAAGATGTCTTTTTATGTTGGATATCAGCCCTTTCACTGACTGTGTGAACATGGGATGTTACTAAGTGTGAGGACTGTCAGTTTCTGATTATCTGTTAAATATGCAACAAATTATAGACATATAGCATGTACAATAACTGTACTTTAGATTCTCTGGAGTCTTAGGGAGCGAGTGCAAATAAAAAAATAAATTTCAAATGCTGCCTTACACTCCTGATGCTTTTGATTTTAGCTTTGTTCGTCCTCCTTTGATCATCTTCTCTGTTGATGGTTTCCGTGCATCATATATGAAGAAAGGGAACAAAGTCATGCCCAACATTGAAAAGCTGAGTGAGTACATGTATTTTCTTACAATGACTGAAAGACAGCCCAGTTGTTTTCATTGAGCAATGGAAGGTCATCATGGAGCTGAAATGGCAGAAATCCCCTTTGGTTTAGATGGTAACAACTGGTGACTTGAAAGCACCCTGATTAATGCAGCACACAGCAGAGTGGGGAGAGCTTCTGCTTTGGGGAATGCTGCTCAGAGTCCATGACCTTCATATGGTTTTGTCACGAAAAATGCATCTTCAATACATGATCTGTGTTATGCACTCTTACAGGCTAGTTGGGAGGTGCCCACAAAATTTTCCACTTGATTCAGAGGTATGGCTAAGTGGCTGTGGTGAATGTCTGTTAGGTGTCTGGGGACATTCCCTGTACTCCCCTGTTGAGGGGTATGCATCCACCTGGGTTTGTGGAATACTAGATGCACTGCATATTTGAAGCTCTCTGTATAGCATGATGGTTTATGTGTGTGTCCATACCTTTGAAACGTGTTGGATTTGTTTCCCCTGTGTGTGTGCTGGCCGTTGTATTTGTGTAGCCATCTATGGTTGGACTTGACAGTCTTTAAAAATGTTTCCAGCCTAAATGATTCTATCATGTGGGAGCTGTGGCCAAAGCCCATTGTGAAACTGCAGCTCTACTGTATTTGTCACTTCAAATTAACCTGTGTTTTCCCGTGTTGTTTTACTTAATGAGATAATTCCAATGACTCTGGACAGGAACTAGCTCAGAAAACAGTCTATGGGAATGGTTAAAATTTAACTCATTTCTGCATCATTTTGAGTCACAGAAATTGCTTCCTCTATTTTTGTTTTCTGTGCTTGAGAGCTTCGCTTCCTAATGCTTACATTTGCTATTGGTTTTTCAGGATCTTGTGGAACTCATTCTCCTTACATGCGACCTGTCTACCCTACAAAAACCTTCCCCAACTTGTACACCCTTGCTACTGTAAGTCCCTGGGAAGGATTTGTTTGATGAAAAAATAGTATACTAGAGTAAAAATGTGTGTAGTGGGGAGCAAGATAAAAAAAATCTAGAAAAAAAAACTCCTTCATTGTCCATCCTTTTTGATCTTTGGAACTCATTCTCCTTACATGCGACCTGTCTACCCTACAAAAACCTTCCCCAACTTGTACACCCTTGCTACTGTAAGTCCCTGGGAAGGATTTGTTTGATGAAAAAATAGTATACTAGAGTAAAAATGTGTGTAGTGGGGAGCAAGATAAAAAAAATCTAGAAAAAAAAACTCCTTCATTGTCCATCCTTTTTGATCTTTAGTTAAGTGTGAAAATGTGTGTAGTGGGGAGCAAGATTAAAAAAATCTAGGAAAAAAAACTGCTTCATTGTCCATCCTTTTTGATCTTTAGTTAAGTGTTTTCTTCAGTATTTTGGAGTGCTGAGATGGAGTATATCTCACCATTATACCCTGTCACAGCTTTCCTATGCATTCTTACGCTTACTGTTGCAGTTATTTGTACTGCTGTGTAATTACAGGTCAGTGTTTTCCTAGGGGGAAAAACCAGCCCTGAAATCCTATCCAGAATACAACCAGCAGTTGTTTCTTCACTGGAGCAGCTGAAGTCAGAGGGGCTGATTTAGCAGGCAGCTTACAATTTACAGCTCTGAATGCATCTGGAGGCTGCTTTGGCCTGACAGTAGAGTGAACCATTGCTGTACTCAGGTGACAGGGTTGTCCCCACACCAGCACGTACACACACCTGTATGACACTGACAGCGTTCCCAGGCTGGCCTGTACACATACCTGTGTGACACTGACAGCGTTCCCAGGCTGGCCTGAGGGACTCTCTACCTGCAGCTGCAATTTTTTCCCTTTCCTTTTTTTTAGATGCAGCCACTGCACAAATATTAAATGGAAGAGAAAGGAGGGGATGGTGAAATGAATAGCTTGGGATGGGAGAGGGCCAAGAGAAAGGGAGAAGGGCTGAAACTTCTTAAATTGCTTTCCCTGCAGAACAAATTGCGATACAGAGCCATGGCTTTGGATGACCTGCCTCAATTTTTTGTTGGAAATAACTTGTTTTACAAAGACTCTTGTAAAGATAAAACATTATTAAATGGAAATGTTAAGTGTTACTCTTGGAAACAAAGAATGAATTATTGTGATGCCCTTGAAAAGGGCATTAATGAAGAGGAACTGAAAGTACAAATCCATCTTATTTTCATACATTTTTGATTATTTTTCATGACTTCAAAATAACCATTAACTAATATGAGAAACTTTGAAGCATTGAGTAACAGGAGTTTCTATGCTTTTTAGCACAATTCAGTCATCTCCTACTGCTTTCATTACTACAACCAGTTTTAAATGTGTTTATCTTAAAGTTATAACCTTTTCTGTTGGGTAGTTACAAAGATACTTGTTTTAAAATACTATAATGGTATTTGCAGATAGCAGTGAAGAACTGCATTTGTGTGCATTAGGGTTTTACTAATTAATCTACTTCTGCACAAAGGGACTCTATCCGGAATCACATGGGATTGTTGGCAATTCGATGTATGACCCAGTGTTTGATGCCAGCTTCAGTCTTCGAGGGCGAGAGAAATTCAATCACAGATGGTGGGGAGGTCAACCAGTAAGTTTCAGATTCCATCCTCCTCCTTTTCTTCTCCCTCTCCTCCCCTCCTCTTGCCCTGCTGTGGAACATAGCCAATAATAATAATTATTAAAAAATATGTTTGTGAAAAACTTGTGCCTAATCCCCATGAATTATTAAAAAATATGTATGTGAAAAACTTGTGCCTAATCCCCATGCCACATCCTGGCTGACCTTTGTCATTCAATTTTGATGTAATGCTTTGAGTTTGCTTTTGCTTTTCAGAATGACAGATCCATTGACTATGGAAAGGTGATTGCATTGATAAGTATAAATCAGATGTGGCTAGGAAAAGAACTCACTTGAGGCTGAAGTATTACACTATATTTTTGTCATTGTGGCAACATGTTTCCTTTTCATTATGAGTTTCTCAGGTTTTTATCCTAGTAATGTTCTTGAGCAATTTTAGTATAAATGTTCTGTCAACATAGCATGGCACAATTTCATAACTATTGTGTAAGTCCACAAACAATCACTGTTACCTGACTTGCTGCAGAGACTGTGGAAGCCTGTGAATTAATTTCTGCCTTGAGCATGACAGCAGAGGCTGAACGAGGTTCCCTCTCTTAGATGAGTGTTGGACTTGGTTTCTCTGGCTCTGAATCCTTATTCTGGGCAAGGAAATGGCCTCCTTCAAAGTATTGTGCATTACTACAGCTAAGACAGTCCCCTTGCTTCTGCTGCACTTTCCCCAGTTAGTGCATGCTGTGGTAGCTTGCTTTGCTGAAGGGGGTTTAAATTAAACTAGTAAGTTCTACATGCAAGAAGGCAAGGTACATGCACATTTCATTGCACTGACTGCTTAGGGAACTATAGTTTGAAAGCTCTCTGACCAGTTAACCTCACAAAAGAGTGAGGTGATAGAGGTGAGGAAATTGGATTGGGTTTGGGAACATCATAATCTGTTTGCTAAATGGATCAGTATCATCCTGCAAAACTCTTAAAACAGAAATATCCCAAGAGACTAAGGGAAGTTACTCACATGGTTTTAGTCTTAGCAAGTCTGTGTTATTTGTCTGCATGTGGTTTTAGTCTGCAGCAAATGTGAGACAAGACAATTTAGAGCTGCAGGCAGATGTGTGACAGACAGATGTGTCTGGTGTAGCTGAGCCAGAATGAGGTATTTGTGCTCGTGTAAAATTTGTCAGCATAACAGTGAGTGTAGACACTCCCTTGCCTAGCTTTGACCTGAGTTAGCTTTTGGCATGGGCTGTGTGGAGTGGAGAGGGTGAGGAATGTACCTATAATCCTCCCAGGTGTGAGCAAAGAAGCATGATCACAACTGGGAGCAGTGAAGGGGCAGCAGTGGGTGACTTCTTCATCTCAGCTACAGCCAGAACCACATAGCTAACAAACCTGCTGCAGTTGAGAATTGAGCTCATAGACACTGCGGTGTGAGAACTTGCTAAGCAGCTGTAATTTAATTATGCATTCCAAATTTAATTCTGCATCTTACCTCAATCATGATTAGGTAGGAGTTAGTGGAGAACTAACTGTTGGAGCTTTTACAAATGTCTCTATTTTTAAACGAAGCTATTTTAAAAGTATAAGCTAAGTTTATGAATACTTCATCACCTGCTGTGTTTTGTGGGGAACATAAATTCCCCCATCTATCTATTAGAAACACCTATGCTACTCCAGAGAATAAAGGTTTTTCTGGATTGTAAACAAGGGTCATGAAAAATGTCAGCTGAGAAGAGTTCAAGACAGTTACACAACAGTGGATGACCATATGCTGGATGAAATCCTCAGAGGATGGGGGGAGTGTTGCATACACAAGTAGGGATGATTAAACAAACCATCTGATCTGAAGAACTATTAAAAAGGAAAAACACACAAATAATGTAATAAACTGGAAATGTCTTTGGAAAATTGGAAACAAATTCCTAGAGGTAGGGCTGTAATTCAATCCTCATACACTTAATAGGAGGGAAACCCATAAGTTTGGCAAAGCTGATAGTGGCCATAGTGACTGGATAAGGAGGTGGTAGATCTCTTGCAGATGTATCAATGCTGCTCTCTCTTCATGTGGAAGAATTGCACATTTGAAAAGAGAATTGCAGATTTTTATAAGTGAAAAAAAATTATATCTATATATTGATTAGGTACAGTCAGTTTCTAACTGCTTTTTATAATTTTCATTAACTATGACATAGATCTAGACTGCCAAAAATAGCTGGGTATTGAAAGACAAGACAATAGAATTAAGGGAGTAAGGAGGGGAAATCTGGTCTGCATATCACCAAAATCTTGTCTAACTGGAGTACTCAATCTTCAGAGTGATATGTGGTTTGCACAGGAGTGGGAATTATTATCTTTCTGCTCAAGGAGGCAGGAAAAATGTCTGAGCCCTTTATTATGGTTATAACTGCCTAGAAGAGAATGTCATTTAATGTTGATAATTTCTGAAATGCTTTCTTGTTACTGGGAACTGACCCATTGTATATGGCTTTGTTAAAATGTGGAGGAGTTGGTGGTCTGTCTGTCTTTCTTTAGTTGTTATAATACTCAGCCTTTTGCTAGGAAACATCCAGATTACCATGGACATCAGTGGGATTTGGCAGATGAGTATCTGAATGGTTTTACTCCAGGAATTGTGAGAAATTAATTTTAAGAGCATTAGGAAAAGGAGAAGGGGGGGAGAAAGTAGCTTGGAAGTGTTTCAGGGTGCTGTAGCTGGTTGTGTGATTTCCTGAAATCTAGTCTTCTGATTTAGTATACAACCTTGATTTATTATATAAGCTGAAAACCACCTTGTTTTCAAAACAAAAGTGTTTCACAGGAAACAGTCGTAAAACCACTCCTCATATTGCTACAGCATCTCACAGAAATCTCCCAAGGGGGAAACTAAATTACTGCTCATTTTTCATGACACTCACGTTCTGTTTTCATCCCAAGCAACTTTAAGCACTAAAATTAGGTCCCAGCTGCTTTTGGTTTCTGTTAAGCAGTAGTTTCTCATGTCTTGATTTGATGTGGTGAGTTTAAGCTTACACTACAGATAACACATTCGGGTTTTTTAGAGATTTTTCATGATCCTTAGAAATAAACCACTGGCCTCCCCACGGCCAGAAGATAACAGGTATAAAACTACCAGTCTCTGGATAATGAGGACAGACAGGATCCTTCAGAAGGTAACCCATCTTGGATCCGAGTTTTGGTCCAAAAGATAGGTCTCTCTTCAAAACTATAACAATTATAAAAGTATTGATGATCGTTTAGGCCACTTTGTATGTAGTTTTAAAGACTACAACCCTCAAAAAGGGCCTAGTTTGAAATGCTGAGATAATCCTTATAAAGGGCCATGACAATCCTAGGTAAATGACAGCATGTTGCAAAGCCCTTTGCAGTCTGCAAGGTGTGTCTGTGGACACTCAGCATCATCACTACACACCTTAACTTGATATTCCTGATTTCATCAAACTTCCTCATTCTATATCAATATTTAGACTAAAACCATAATTGGAATGTTACTGATTTTGAGTGTCTAACAATTACAGAAAGAGCTTCAGGAAGCTGTCATCTGCCATTCTGTCCTGAACACATTTTGCAATCACTTTATTGAAGGAGAGATGGGTATAATTCCTTTTTGTAAGAACTGCTTTTTATCCAGCTTGAGTTGTGAACGAGCAACAGGGCTCTTTGCATCTGTCTATTTAATAAGCTTCTTGTACCAACATCTTCCATCTGGGCAAGAAAACCATGCTTAGTTGCCAAGGCTGTGAGATCATTTGTGTCCTATTAAAGAGGAAGAAGGATGGAAGAGGCTAGTTACATTTCTCCTTGTTGGCAGAACAAATTCCAAATAGTGCAGGAGTGATATTAATTCTGCATGCTTGCACCAGTCGTGTACCTGTTTCGTTACTGGGAAATGTTGGGGTTTCTCCTTTCCCACCTTTGCCTGAATGTGGAAGAGATTTCCCCTTCTTGTATCACCAACTCTCCACTGTAGTGGGTGTATGCACTTCCTCTGCTCCTGCCACGAATCACCTTCCCTACCTGGTGAATGGGAGTGTGTTTGCACAACTTGAGTTGCCCCTCCCATCAGCCCTGACCCAAGATGTGCTGCTGCCACCAGTCATTTCATGGGGCAACAAACACAGAGCAGTCTTTGCTAAGTTACAGGCTCTTAATTATTCGAGGTGTCCCACCTTCTGTGCAGGTTTTCAAAGAAAATTCCACAGCTGTCTTGAATGACTCTGTATGAAGTATTTGTGTGAAATATGTCTAGCAGTCAAAAGGGAGAACTTGGGACTTCCATGTTCTATATGCCATTGACACCTAACCTATTGCTTAGCCTGTCTGCTTTCATCCATAAAGAGAATTGTAGTCAATCAACTCAGAGGATATAAAAATAAAAGTAATTCAGCTTACAGGATATGTTTCATATCTATAACTAGAAAAATGTATATATTATTTCTTGGGACATTTGCCAGTGTACTGGGGTTGAATCTGAGCCCATAATCTAACAGTTCTTTCTGCACTGGAAAAGCTAGATATTGTTTGTTTCTTGTGGCACAGTATGAAGACAGAATGGTTGATCTGATTATTATTTTGTAAAAAATATTTATTCCCCTCCTCTCTGCTTACTCAAATTAATTAGAGAAATATGGCCTATATATAGAGTGCAATACAATAAGGCTTGTCCCCTATGCAAACCAGGAGTGGACATAGGAGATAGCTAAACAGCTGACTAGAAAATTCTGATGTATTAACAGTTAAGCCCAACATATTTACATATGGCAAATAAATTACATGAGCTCACAAATGGTACTGACCTTGCAACACCTAACACAGCAAACGTTAAAAGTGACCTAACAGATGTGACCAGCCATAGAGAGTATATAAGGCATTGCATTTACATGCTGAGTACTGGAACAGCTAGGATTAATTAACTTTAAATCTGTGACTCTAACCAACAGAGAGGAAATGGAACAATAACCCTCAGTCATTTCTTAACTGTTTTCAATGGACAGGGTTGAGAGGGCACATGCTAACTTTTTTTCTATCCTACCCTCTCACATGGCTTGTAGTCTGACTTGAAAGACAGTGAATTTAATTTGAAGGCAGCAAGAGACTGTCTTTCTAACTAATTCACTGGTGATTAGGCTGAAAGAAGAGTTTACCATGCTTTTCTGCTGGAGTTCCTATCCTATAGCTGAGGTGGAATATAAACTTTCATGCTCTTATCCAGCTGTCTCTAGTCTGTTTAATTTTACCTAGCCACTAAAGGGTCTGGGTAACCAAAGGCACTCCTGGTAGAGATAGTTACCACTAGATTCATCAGCACTAACTGTCACAACTCTCAAACACACTGGAGATTTTATTTAAAGCTTGTTGAGTTCAAATAGAAATTCTTCCACCTAGATAACTGCTGCATCTCTGCATTCTTAATGATGTGTCTACAAATGTATTGTTATGAGTAGCAGCTTTAGGTATGATAGTGAATAGTGTTGAATTTTCTTAGTTTGGGTTTGAATAAATCAAAGGCTTGTTTGTTTGGTTGGTTTGTTTCCCCTTATAAAACAAAGGAGGGCAGAGGTCCAGTAGTGTTTTATTGCAAGCTTGAGTTGAATCAGGCTGTGCTTGGCAAAGTCAGGATGGAGTCTCACTCAGATGTTGTGGACAGATATGGGCCTTTTGATTTGCTGATGTTAGACTTCAACAGATCCTTATCTTAGCTGTTGAGCTTATTTAAAGTGCAGCGGAGCACTACTCATCCGAACAGTTAATGGCAATGTAAATGGCTGCATTCTCGAGGTGAAATTCTTGGGCGCAGTGCAGGTGCAGCATTTCTCCTCTCTGAAACCAGTCTGGGTGCCTTTGGGCTGCCCTTACTGCTCTTAGGAGTATGCAACCCGGAGTCATCTCCTCTTACTTGCATTACTCCTGGGACAGAAAGGTGTGAATGCTCTTTTCACATGACATTCATGAAGCATATTCTATGCTCAACACAAATTAAAAATAGCCCCCCCCTCACAGGTCTGCTGGCTGCCTTAGCAATACTCATAGGAACTAACTATTCATCTCTCAGGATGGCTGTTATTTTACTTGCTTGGCCAGAGGGGGAGGGTGTCTTTTGACACGTTTAAAATCAATTGCCTAAACAACACAGGGTCATGGGTAAATGCATCAGCACTAAGTCAAGAGCAGCACAGAACATCTTCAGCTGCTGAGGGTGGAACTTGGCTGGTCTGATTTGGCCAACCAGGCAGGCTGAACTGTTTGGACCTGTGTAGGCCAAAGGACTAGAAAGTAAAACTAGAATTAGTAAATGGTGAAAGCTAAACACTGAATTCCCTGGAGTTTTTTGGTACCTTCCCAAAGATATCTCCAAAATTATTTAAATATTGCAGGAACACAAACACTTTCAAAGAAAATAAATCTGCTACAGCTCTGTAGGGGCAATGGTTTTCCAAGTACAGCAAGACCATAGAGCACAACAGCAGTGGAGCTGACATGCCTCATGCTGAACTTGTATTTGACCTCCTTTCTCTGCCATGACTGGATTTTTCATTAGGAATAAATTTGCAATGCAAAGAAAAATATAATTGCTTCAAATATGGGCCCTTTTTTGCCTGGAAATACCATGAAACAGTAAATAATAACTTTTAATTAGACACAGGGACCTGGCTGAAGTTCTATACCCTGTGCTGGTTTATATGACACAAATGAACATCTTTGCAGTGTATGGGCTCAGTGACATGATCGGTGAGCTGTTCACACACTTCGTCATCTCTCCTGTTCACTTGCATCCTTCTGTCCCATCCTGTCAGGGCTAGTATTCTGTGAGTTTTTGAAAACAATATCCCTGTTATTCAACCACAACCCCCAAATTCCACTATAAATTCAAAGCCTTTTTTTCCTTTTATTTGATCAGAGTCACTTTGCAGCCACATCATCTTGTGATATTTGTCACCATGCAAACCGTGGTGCTGGTGGAAGGCTAGGGCTGCAGAGCCTGGGGGAGATGCTTGGAGGACTCCACATTTGGTGGCAGCTTGAGCATACATTAATATGAACCAAGCCTGAAATCAGTCTCTTGAGGAAAAGCACCTGAAATAAGAGGAGTGGGCTGCAAATTCATGGCCATTCTGCTCCTGCTCTTGCTGCATTTATTTAGTAACACCATTTCTATAGAGTTACTCTGGTTGTATTCTTCCCTGAAAGGAGGATACATTAGCAAAAAGTTAGAATGAAATGAAAACAGATGATCTTTTATAACTAATTTCAATTTAACTGGACTGAGTCCTGTAAGATTTGGTGGAGTAGAAGATGAGAGGTAAGGAGTGTGTCCAAGGCACAGGAAGGCAAACATTTCTATAAATGGCATTACAATATCCAAATTTAATTGCTGTTAACTATAGCCTCATTGTGCAAATGGTCTTTCATCAGACTGTGCCAACGTTATTTCAATTAAGATCGACGTGTGAATAATTCAGGCATGAGATTTGAATACTGCACGCCCAGATGACAGTTTATAAGTGCCTGCCTGAGCAAGGTAGAGGGACTTTAAATGGATTTTCAAAGTTGATTTAAAGTAAACCAAAGACTTTGGAATTATTAAATAAGGGAGCTACATTTTGTCTTAACTCCTTGTGAAATGATACATCGCAGTATGCATAAGTGATGGGAAAAAACAATCTAGCTGTATATACAGTGCTGACCAGTGCCACTTTTGAAATTAGTTTTGAGATAATTTGGATAGTTTCTTGCAAGAGAAATGTAGTTCTGTAGGGCTACAAACTCATGTTGTTTGCTTTCCTTGATTGTGGACCTTTTTGACATTTGTTCATTCTCATTCCCCTGCCTTGTATAGAGTTATAGGATAGAAAGAGGGCAAAAGGAGGGAGAGAGAAAAGTGATGAGGATAACCAGGGGTATGGTATGGTTTTCATTAGAGAAAGATCAAACAAACCAGGGCTACTTGTGTTTGAAAAGTTAAAAATAGAGGGAAATATAATGAATGTTGTATAGAAATGGGAAGAGAAAGGATTAATAACCTGTTTTCAAAGCATGAGAACAATATCCTAACCCCAATGAAAGTGGCAGGTTTCAAACAAACAAAATGAAAAATAGACTCATGCACTGTGTGTTCCACTACACTGTGGAACTTTCTGCTGCAAACTGATTTATAGTCAGAAAAAAAAGAAATGGAACTTGAAGAATTGAGGAAAGAATTTTAAAAATTCATGGAGATTTTCCTATCATTTCCATCAATCACCATGTTGGATGAGCTCAAAAAATTCTTAAGTCTCTGGATGAAAGTGTCCCTCCCTGCTTTTGTAATGCACTTGCTCACTCGTCTGCCCCCTTTTTTGTGTATTCTTTTCTCGCACATTTTCTGTTGGTGGCTACTGATGAATATGCGGGAAGAGAGACATTTATGCAGATACGGATTAGTGTTAAGGTATGTTGTTTCCTAACTGAGTATCCTCTCAAACCTGAATGCTAAAATGCTCAGGTGAGTAATGGCTGGGCTTTGTAAATTAAATGGAAGACTGGAGGAATTCCTGGCCATGAATCTTAAGGCATTTAATTAAAAGCGACATAGAGATGTAGAGCTGAAAGTTTGCAGCACAGCAGCTGACCCAGTGCTACAGAGTTTGCATAGGTTTGTCACTCCACGTGTTCAGATTAGGGCTGCAGGCTGAAAACTGCAATTTTCACTTCTAGGCTCAGGGTAGAAGAATGTGTCTTGAAAACATTTGCTTTTGATTTCAGAGAATCATTAAAGATCTGAACACATTCTAATCCTCTTATATTTCCTCATTAGATTTGGATTACTGCAGCCAAGCAAGGGGTGAAAGCTGGCACGTTCTTCTGGTCTGTGTAAGTGCCCTGTGTTTTCTGGAGATTAACTAATAATTGAGAATTAATTTGATGTGTTTATTAAGTTGCCTTCCTTTCTCTAAGCATTTGGTAGCTTGGAGACTGTACCTGTAACCCTCTACTGTTTCATTTGAGCAATGTTTATGATAACTACAGCTGATGCTACAGTTTGCTGCTTTAAGTTCGTGCACTGATTTTTAGCAGTGGTGTAAAGAAAAGATGTGTGGCTGTGTGAAAAATTACTGTCTTTCATTTCACGGTGTGGTTTTATGCCTCCTTGGTATTGCTAGCAATGTTTCCTAGTCCTCTGAGTGTAGAAAACTCTTATTGTCCTCTTAGTCTACTGACATCAACAGCTTAATTGTCTCAAAGGTCTGACTCGTTCATGTTACAATACAGTCTGAACTTTGACTAAGATATCCAATTTCCCTTTCTTAAAAGACAGCCCAGAGGATCTTTGCTGTTTGTTCTTTTGTTTAATGATTCCAAATTCTTTTCACTTGTCCCAACTAAAATGTATCTTCACAACCAAAAATTGATTAATTTTGATAATTTCTGAGTTTTGAGGAATTCTTGTGGATCATTCTCTACATTACATTTTAGTGGCAGGATTGCAGGAGGAAAGAAAATGTGCAAACTGCAAGATTGAAGTACTAAGGGGATTTGCCTATTTTTTTTGTTTCCATTAGGAATACTACCTTTGCTGCTCTAAATGTCATATAGCACATGGAGGAATAATAAAATGTACCACAAGCTGATGATAGATTTAGGCTTCCAAGATGATTATCTGACAGAGCTCCAGTCTGGTGCTTCTACAAGCCAAAGAAATAATGTGATTCCTAAGCTCTACAGCTACAAAGTCTCTATAAAAACCCTGGCCAATACATACTTGGGGATATAGAATGTTGCAGAAGTTAACCAAGGATATGTGGTATGAATGGCAACAGTAAGGGAGTGAGATAACCACTTTATGTGCAAGTGAGACATATATGTTTTAAAACTGTGTAATTTAATTTGGGAGAATTTTTAGGCATACTCTTTTAGAAAAAACGAATTGTTAAAAACATTTTAGTCAGAAATGAGTTAATGGACATAAAGGATTTTTTTTCATATTGCACAATTAAGAAAAACATAAAAACTGGTTAATACCCAAAATTATTATTCTGCTTTATTGTGTTGCCTTATTTGCAAATTTTGGCATAAATTCTCATTTTTACAGTTGTTTTGCAACCAAAAATCCCTGTGTAGTTGGAGACCGAGGGCCACTGTTATTCTACAAGGAATTAAAAATGAGCTTATTTACAAATGGCTGTTGACATCTCTATTTCTCTGTCAGCCATTTCCAAAGGGTGCTGAATTCAATTCAGCATGGTTACTCTGGTGGTTGTATTTGATTCTTGCCTTGGGATTCTGCTACTGATCTAATGGAATCTGGGCTGACAATGCTATTGTATTAAAATAACTGTGTGGTTGCTGACCTGCAGAGCTTTCCTTAGATGAGATATTTGGAGCTTTAACAGCTGTTTATAAGGTTAGCCATTCTCATAGCATGAACTTGTCCTCAGCAGCCAAGTGAGAAGTCTCACTGTACAAACAGTGAAATAGGACAAGTCTGTTCTGCAGACTGAGAAGCTGTCAGAGTTGTACAAGTCATTGTGCTGATGGCCTGGTGTGTCAGATGGCTCTGTTCTGATTTACACTAGCCTAGCCCTCAGTTTGGTTATTGTTAAGTCAATGGGAACTTCTCCAGTGTCTTCAAGACTACCAGAGCAGGATGGTTGGTTAACCTGTACTGGTGTGGGCAATATACTGGTTTGTGCTCATGCCAGCTATCCAATGGCAGCACAATTATGCATATAAAAGGGTTCAGCTGGGTTAAAGCTGCCAGAGTGGATCTTTATTCACTCCTGCTTAGACGAGTTAGGTTTACTGGCTTGAGTTCTGACTCCAGTTGCAAACTTTTAATCATCTTTCTTTTGGAGTATGTGGACATTCAGGAGGTCTGAAGTGATTCTGTTTGCAAATTAAGAATCAGTATTCAGTAACAAAGAAGATACAGCATACCAAAAGCATATTATGTTGTTATGACTGATTTTAGTCATGTTAGAATCAGTTCATTGCAAGGGTTTTTTTATGCTTTTAGTATCTAATGATAACAAGGTATATTTTGTATTTTGTGATTCAGCGTCATCCCCCATGAGCGCAGAATATTAACAATACTGCAGTGGCTAACCCTTCCAGACAATGAAAGGTAAATCACTTACTGTCATCTGCTGTTGGATAACTGCGAGTTTGTCTGCTCCTTAAAAGTAGCTGGAAAAGCAAGGGGAAGTTTAATTTTCAAAATGATTTTGTCTGTTACAGCCTATCACTGATTTAAGGATCTTTTTTTTTGTTTATTGGGAGCTTTGGGGGATTTGGTTTTGGTTTGTTCAGGTTTTTTTGGTTGTTTGGTTTGGTTTTTTGTTTTGTTTTTTTTAATCTCAGCAGTTAACCATCAGCAATTTGATTCTTCCAAATAAATGTATGGTATGAATTTATTTCTTATCAAGAAGCATGTAGCAACATGGATTAACTTGGATTGTTCTTATCCCACTGAGCCTAATATGGTTTAACAACACTACAGACAATGGCAATTGCAGAACTGGACACTGAGCACTAGGAAAATGCTCAGATTTTAATTATGAGTGGGTTTTAGTGCACAAGTTCCCACATGCTCAGGCGAGCTGCTGGTGTGATTTCTCCTACAAGACTTGGAGCGTGTGTCCTCAGACGGTACCCCGTGTGCCTCCCTGTGTGTGTTCTTGGATTTAATAAAACTACAGAACAACTAATTGTTTAATTACACCATGGAAACAAAGGACTGCTAAATGATTCCATGATTCTATGACTGAGAAACAGTTCTTTTTCCATAAAACTAAGTCTCCTTGGAAAGCTGATGTGATTTGACGTGACCTAGCAGGCCTGTGCTTTTGTGTTGTCAGAGGAAAGCTAACCTGAACAAGACCTTTCTTTCTTTCAGGCCTTATGTTTATGCTTTTTACTCTGAGCAACCAGATGCTGCTGGCCACAGATATGGTCCTTTCAACTCAGAGGTTAGTACAGATTTTCTTCTGCAGCAAGAGCAGGTGTCTCAAATACTTTTTTTGGAATAATTGATGCTGCTCAGAAGTAACATTTTTAGCAGCTTTTTTTTCCACCTGTTTCTGCAGTATGCTTCCCCTCTGGCCAGAGAAAACAAAGTTAATGTCTAAAGGATTTATCATGTGAAATTCACTGCCTGTGCCTTTCAGGAGGCTATTTCTCTGTGTGATATGGTAATGTGAATGGAAAGATTTATTTGGCAAAGACAGGAGTATATTTGTGTGCAACAACGTAACTTAACTTTCCTCTAGCAACTTATCCTTCTTAAGAGTAATTAAAATATAATGCAGAAGATATTGGGGGAAAGTGCAGAGAATAAAAAAGCTTTCTTTGAAGCTGACAGCCTGCAGTAGCCAAAGTAATAATTTCAGCCTGTCAGGAATTGTAAAAGTGGCTAGTTCCAGTTTCATATAGGCCCTACAGGGGTTCAGAAAGCTTTGCCGGAACTGTTCCCTCAGGACCATACTGTTGAGTTTGGAAAAAGGTTTGAAGCACCATAAGGTGTTTTAATGAAAAATTACGTGCAAAATGCTGCAGTAGTTTAACCCCTTGTTTGACTTTGGGTAGCTGTCTCGGACTGATGGGTATTGTTTCCCTGCCAACACTGTTCAGGTGACAAGAACTTATAGACAATGCACTTGTCTGGGATTTGTGGGGAGGGAAAGTAAATTCTGTACCCAAACATTCTGTGCCAGCTGGCTGGGATCTGGCATTTCCAATGATCTCTGACATCTGGCAAAGGTCCCGTAGTTTCAGTACCTGCAGATTGCCATCACAAGCATTTAGGAGTTTTCATACAAGGTTTTCAAAAGGTGAACAGATGTTTGCAAATCTCTGAAAGCTGAGCAGCGTATCGGATGCCTGAGCAGTGTATCAGATGCCTACCCTCTGGAAGGCAATACAAATCTCCTTGAGCAGCCAGGTCCCAGCAGTAGTTTCTTATTTGTTGGGTATACATCTGATAGCTATCCTTAACAGGAGAACAGAGCAAAGAGAAGCAGCACTAATTTTTATTAATATGCTTGAGTTATATGGACTGTTTAAATGAGTTTGCAGCAGTTATGAAGCTGCTGTGGGTAGCATCCCTGTTGGAACAGTTTGAGCCATGGTGCCAGAGCAGTGGGTGTGAGGAGTTATTCCAAACCAGCACTGAAACACCATACTGAATAGAGAGAATCAGTCCTTTTTCTGGCTAAGCAGTGGTTAAGATCTGCCAACACTCTTGCTCAGCTGATAGGCATGGATATGTGTCCATGTTGTCATTTGGCTCAGAACATGAGCTGTGTCTGATTCAGTCAGGCAAGGTATCAGTAATGAGAGCTTGCTGATTCAATGATATATTTATCAATGATGCTTTATAGTTCCTCTTACTGAAGTGTTGCAAATGTGTGGCTTATGACTGACAACTCTAATTTTACTCATCTGTAGACAGCCACTTTCTTCTGAACAGAGTTGCGGAGATTTTTCTATAGACTTAAGGATTATATTAAGATGATGACATTGAAGTTGTTCCTTAACAAACCACTTTAGTATCCAGTGTGACAGTCTAGTTTCAGGTTAATTATAAGAGTTTAAAAAGTGAAGTGCATAGGAAAGAGCTCATCATAGAAAAAGTCATTATAAAAGTAAAAAGCCCCCAAAGGCTTTTAGTGGTTGGTTGTTTTTTTTCTGGATAGTTGTCTGAAGGTTGATCTCTAATTGCAAGGCAAAGCTTAGGCTCTTAATAAGTGCAAATTAATAGCTTATGAAAGTTTTGCGGATAAATAGCTTTATGGGATTTGTGTTAAACACAAGAAGACTGTAAGCTGATCTTTATCTGAGACCAGATGAATTAGCAGATGAGCATGTATGGGTTTTCAGTTCAAACAGTGGACATAACTTTGTGAATGGAAATTTAAGTAAATGACTGCAGCTGTGTAGGTACACAGATGCTGAGGTTTACTGGAGGACTGGCTTCGGGATACAAAAGCAGGAAGTATTTTACATTGCTTTCCTTGACACTGCTTTCAATATCATTTTTAGGAGCTATGAAATTTCCATAAATCAGCTGGAAGAAAGTCCTCAAAGGGATCCCTTTCAGCTTACTTCCTTGATACTGAGAGCATGACCTCTCTGAAATCATTCTTCTCTTGTCTATCGCTGGCAGCAGTTAGACAGTACTGACTGGAGTAGTACTGACCATTATTCTTCATGCAAAGACAGATCAGCCAAACAATAATGTTTGAAAACAAGCTCATGTCATAACAACTCTGTGTTGAATTTAAAATGGGCTTCTTATTTCTTCTTTTGAAGAAAGAATATTTTATGATTAATTTTTCTTGCTACATTTAGTGGTCTGAGTAGGTTTTTTTGAGTTTTCTAGTGGGGGTTTTTTGAGTAGTTTTTAGCAGTTTTGTACCCTGAAAACCTCAAAATCTTACAAATCTCTATTAGAATAAAGTGAATGTTTATTAGAGCTTATTATACCAAATAATGTTCTAAATATATTTTAAATGTGTAATCTTAAATGTCTAATGGCATCCGTTACTGATAATTTTCAGCTTCCAGACTTCAGCAGATGGCACTTCAAGCTTCCTAGGACATGCACCACAACCTATGTGCAGTGTCTTAAAAGCTAGAAGTAAAGGGGTTTAGATTCACTTAAACATTACTGGTGAATTACCAGTGTTTTTCATGTCCTCTAACACGAATGTCAGTGTAAATGAGTTGGTTGCCTAGGTTTTGTTTTTTTTTCTCTTTGGGTGGCTTTTTATGGTTACATTTTGCTTCATTTTGTTTTGGTTTTCTTTTTGGAAGATGAATAAACTTCTTAGGAAGTATTTCAGGGGGTTCCACTATGTTTCCAGGAGTAGTTATGGGAGTTATCAAATATGTGCTTGCTCTTGATTTACTTCTGCTTTTATATTTTTTTTCTTTCCCTCTGTGCTTCTGCAGTTGAACTCTGGTAGGTTGGTCCATCCTGGTCAAGAAGCAGAGCTTTGGCTGGCTAGTTACCCTTGTGATGTTACAGTTTCCTTCTGTAAACCAGGAGGGATTCATTTCCCTCCTCCATAACTCTGTTCTGACTCTTCTCAAGCAAGACTAAGATTTGGCTGGTTAATAAGAACTTGGCTTTTTTTATTCATTTTTTTCTCTTAGCTAACTGTTTGGTAAAATAAAATATTCTAGAAATATACTACCACAAGAGCTCTAAAATACATCGAAATCTGGCCCTGCTAAGCCGTCTCTGCTGCTCCTCTAACATGCTGTCTTGAGACAGCCATTTCAGTGTTCAGACCTGGGTCTCGCGCCCTCGCGTGTTCCTGGCATTGTGGAGCTCTGAGCTGATTCAGAGACAGTAAAACGAGAATCCTTCCTTTCCCTGCTGCTCCTCTCATCAGGACTGCATAAAGCTTGAAGCGTTTTAAAAACAGAAAACTCTGGTGCTGCTTTATTAAAATGCCTCGCTGGAGACAGACGAATGAGACTGGACTTGAATCTCCTTTCCAGCTGCTTGCATTGGAAGCAATGATACAGCATGGCAGATGGTAACATCCCTTCCTTCCCTTCCTTGTTTACATAGCTCTGTAACTGAACAACTGTGAGAAGCTGCCTAAGTACACAGAAGTTAAATAACACATAAATCTCCATCTCTTCTCAAGCCCACTCAGCGTGCTCCGTTACACACAGAATATTGTAGATTATCTCCTGGTAGGCATCACCTGTCAGCACTTCACACGCCACCTCGAGCAGTGCCAAGAGCCTGCGACTTGCCTTAAAGTCAGTGAGAGTGGGACAGCTTAAAATTAAGAGAAAGATGATTAATGGGATAGTAGTTTATGCTAGCTAGATCTTATTTCTTTTCCTTCTATTTTTTTTTTACTTCTCTAAGTCTATGCCAGGTAATTCTGTGTTTATGAACAATAACCTTACCCAATGAGACGTCACACTGAAAGTGCTAGGAAATTAAGTTCTCAAGATGCTGATAAAGCTGTTAATAAGACAGGTAGCAGTGCAGCTTTCTCAGGCACTGCCACTAGTATGCCCTGCCTAGCAGATTTGTGGGATACAAGCTCCATGCTAACTGAGCCTGAGCTTCATAGCTCTGTTCTGCAGACCCCAAGTAGTGGCTAGTGGGGTTCTGGTGATTTCAGTGGGTGCAAGGCTGGGCACACAATGGTGGCACCTGTTAATGCTATGGATGTGGGTACTTGGTGTCACTGATTCTGTCAAAAAGTGGGTGTGGGAAGCCTTGCAGAAGTCATTTAAACTGGACAGGCTCCAATACTTACAAGTGAAATGTTGCATTTCCACCAGGACTCTGCCCCAGCCACATTAAATTGTGTGCAATGAATTCTGCTTTAACTGAAATTAAGTGAACTTAAATTTTGATAATAGTAATAGATTAATATTTGATAATTAACACTCCCAATGCAACTACATATTCTGAAAACTAGAAGCCCCACCTATCTTCTGAAACACCAATTTAATTTGCTTTTATGCTGTCTGCTCTTGTAACTGCTGTTTTGCTTTCAGTACAATTTGGTGGATACCTCCTTAAAATGAGACAGATCCTAAATTGTCCAAAAGCCTACATTTTTGAAAAGGCCACAACATTTATGCTTCAGGGTTATCTGGCACAGGTAGCTTTACTATCTGATGTGAGTTGAGACAGGCTTCTTTTCTGAGTCCAGACATCTCTCCCTGCCAGTACAGGAGAGTAGTTATGGCTCCCCTCTTACTCCGCCTAAGAGACCTAAGAGAAAGCTTCCTCCTAAGAGGAGACAGGAAAGACCAGTTGCAGCTCCAAAGAAAAGAAGAAAAGTACATAGAGTGGATCAATATGCTACGGAAACTCGTCGGAAGAAAGTAAGTTTCAAAAATTTATGATGGAAGTGCCACTTTTTAGGCACTACTCTGTCTTTATTTTTTTCAACTTGGGAGTTCACTCCATGCTTCAGGTTGGGATTTTGCAGCCAAAACTTTCATAAATGTACTGAGGGACCCAAAGGAAAGCAGCCAAACCAGACCAAGCCTTCTGGGAACTATGGTTTTCTTGTTTCAGACTGTTTGCATTAGGGAAAGTCATCTTTATAATCTCTTTATATTTTTCAATCCAGCCATCAGCTGGAGGCAATGTCAGACAAATCCCTGGGAAGACACTACCACTGTTGATAACCCTTCTGAACTATTACAAATTCTTCAAAATGCTGTAGCCTCCTTAACTCCCAGCTCATGGGAGCATGGTGATTGTTTGACATTCTGTGTCTAGTCATCATGGTTGTGGAAAAGTCCTGAAAATGTGACACGTAAAATCTAAAAAGGACAGAACATTTGTTTTAAAAATATGCATTTTGAAGTCATTTTGTGACCTTGCAGGGTAGAGGATTCTTGATTACATGATTTCTGAATGCTGTATTTGCAATAGAGGTGGTACATAAGTTCTGTTTTCACAAGGAAAATGCTATATAGAAATTGCTTTATTAGGAAGAAGTGCAAGTGGATGAAAAGGGTATTCCTTAATGTACTGCCTTTCTCCACCTGTCACAAACTAACACACTAGGAGGGGTTATAGACTGTTTCAGTATCATTTTCATGTCAGAAATGTAACTAAATAATTCAAAAATTCTTCAAATAAACCACCTCCTTTAGGCTTGAAACAAAAGCCTTGACACTCCACAATATCCTACAAGAGGCTATAATTCTTCTCAATAGCTTTTTTGTGGGGATGTTTTTTTGACTTTCTGCACAACTCCACTAAAAGCAATTATTTCAAGACACATTATGTAAGTGTAAAGACATGGCAGACGGGCGTGCAAAAAAAAAAAAGTCATGTATAAAACCCCAGGAATTTTTCCTAAGACCTTTTAACACATATTTACCTTAGAGGAGAACTAATAACTGTTATGGATGATACTGCTATTCCTCATTAATTTGCCATTCAAAGTTATACCCTTCTGACATGGAGTAGAGTAGATAGCTTGTAACATTCCTACTGGTGTGAATGTATGTGGCTCTCTAGTGTTTCCTTTCTTTTTCTGGATGAAAAGGTCATCCAAGCTTATCCCTAAAGAACTCTTCCTGATATGTCAGCTGTGAAAATTTGTCACTATTACTGCAGAAAAATCCCTAGTACTACACAAGAGTTGTCATCATTTCTGCAATTTAATCTTTTGGGGCTGTTTGAGAGCAATGGAATGCAGTACAACATGGATCCTACCAATTAAAAAAATCAAGGATAAAGTGAGATCCATTCTTCCTTTTAATCAAACTTCTAACAGAAAACTTGGGAGAGAATCCAACTGTAGTTTTTATGTCTCAGATCCCATACCCAATACTTTCACAATGCTACCAACTCTTTGTTGTAGCACCATCTTAGAGATCCATGTATCTTGAAAGATAAAATGTTTCTGTCCAGTTTTCCAAAGTCGTGATATCAACATACAGGGTGAAGAAAAGTAAATGCACAAGGTATATGCAAGAGTTTTATTTGTTTACCAATAACTCTTTGAAAGTTGCATCTGGAGAAGAATGTGAGTTTTCAGAGGAGATTAAATTGGTGAAGAGCATAGCTAAAGAAATTACCATCACTTGAAATCTCTGGAAGTATTGTTGCTCTGGTTTTTTATTAGTTTTAAAAGAAGCCTCAAGCCTGCTGACAAAAGTAAATGTTAATGGGAAATCCATCTGGATTTCCAGCTTCCTTGAATAAGCTCTGGATTCTGAGTAACAGTTGTATTTCCTTATATGACTGATGTTATATAAGTAGAGCTTCATAAAACTGGAATTCCCATTTGTAGAAGAAATGCTTTGTATTTGAGAGTGGAAGAATGCTGAAACAGACAATTTTCTTTTTTTCTGAACTTGAACGTTTCACAGTTTTAACTCAACTCACTACTTAGGCTTTCCTGAATTAAAATCTTTCAAAATTTCACCCTTTGCCTGAACCACTTCCATATGTTGCAGAAACCATTCCTCCTGTTCCCCACCATGATTCCTTCTCTTGTAAGTTGCTTCTCTGCGTATTTATAGTGCCACGTGGGAGATGACATTTCCTGTCTCATCTTACAACTTATCAGACTCATTTTCCATCTATCTCTTAATGACTCAGGCAGAGGGAGAATTGATGAACCATCTCTATCTGGGTCACATTAGCATCGTGTTTACTTTAGAAAAATCTGCCCAAATCTAGTTTTTTTTCTCATCCAGAATTTGTTATCATTCTCTTTGTCATTGGGAGGATGTTCTATTGTGGATACTTGGACCAGCCAAATCAAACAGACAAGCAAGGAAGAAGTTGCTATATAGTGACAACAAATGTTTTCTTCTCAAAATCAAAACAAAATCTGAGTCCTCTGCCTAAAACCTTACTTTAAATGTTTCCCTTCTCTGTGCCATCTGATAAAAAGTGTTTCATTTTCTCAAAGCTGAAAACAGTCCAGTGTCTTGCTGTTTTCTGTTTTGTTTCTTAATGAAAAAGAAACTTAAATGAAGAAATCACAGTACTATATCCATGTCCTCTGGGGCCAATTTTGCCCAAACTGTCATTTGAGCTGTTGGAAACTCTTGGCTTTGAAGCTGAAGAACTCTCCCTCTGAGCCCCATGTGCTACTCAAGTGACTTGCATGCTGTCATCCAAGTATCAGATGTCCTTTGAAGTCAATTTCATTAAGTGACTTGGCATGTGAATCCCAAGTCCAAAGCTTCATTTCTTGTTCATATTTTGACTAAACCATTCACATAAAATAGCCTTCTAAAAGTACTGCTGTTTATCTATGAGAAACAAACTGAACCCCAAAGTCACGTGTTTTTCTACTATCTATACATCACTTTACCAACTGTACACATGTTCATGGGAGGCCTAGAATTGGTCATAAAGATCTTCTGTCATTTTGTGATGTTTTTCTACTATCTATACATCGCTTTACCAACTGTACACATGTTCGTGGGAGGCCTAGAATCGGTCATAAAGATCTTCTGTCATTTTGTGTCAGCATCTGAACAGGGCTTTCTTGTGATGAAATCACAATGTGGATATACAAAAGGAAATCATATGATAGTTGTAGGTGCAACAGCTCAGCCAAGGCTTTGCCTCTTGACCTGGATGGTTATCCTATCAGCGTTTTGCCAAAGGACCTCCATTTGTCAAAGGAGGAACATTGCAATGACAGAATCAACATTTTTCCTTTCTGCATATTTATACAGATGATGGTGAATCCCCTGAGAGAGATTGACAAGACAGTAGGACAACTAATGGATGGACTGAAACAGCTGAAACTACATCGATGTGTCAATGTTATATTTGTTGGTGACCATGGTAAATTTTAAACTGTAATCTTTATCAGTAAATAAATACTTAAGTAATGTAGCTGTAGATGTAATAGGTGACCTAAATGAAAGTTCCATTTAAGATATTTTTGTGCTTATTTTTTCCTGGTTTAAATACCCCAAATGAGCCAGTCAGTATGGACTGGCCACTCAGCTTATGTGTTAATTGTCATTGGAGGACACTCCCCTTTCATAACAGTGATATGGGTATCTATATCTTCACTTAGAGCTTTTCAAATCTTGGCATTTCTTCTATCACACCCAAGTGCAGCTCTTCTTGCATGTATTGGAAGGCTATAATGTGCCTGGAGTAATCTTTTTGTCAGTTTTTATGGAAGGAAAAAATTTAATAGCCCTGTTCTCCTGTATGTGAGAAGTAGGACTTTAGATTGAGGCATTTCCATGGCAGTTAGTGGGTCAAGTTATTCTACTAGGATAAAGACTGGAATATCTAGGAGACTAAAGTTGAATGGAAAAGTCATTAGACTAAAGGAGGAGGGAGATAAAAAGATATTTCATGGCGAGATAGAGAGTCATCTAAACCCAGAGATACTATTTGGTAGGTGTCATTGTTTCAGACATTGGAAGAAACTTTACAATTAAAGAAATAGTAAATATTAGCAAAGAATAAAAAGAAAATTTTATTAAAGAAAAGAATGTGACCAGATTTGAGAGAAACCTGTCTTTTCATAACTCTTTGAGTGATGCCACCAAAGGTCCTGTTCTGTTTAGACCTCGATTCATGCAAGTCTCACAGAGAAGAGGAGGCTCAGGGAGACCTTATCACCCTCTACAACTCCCTGACAGGAGGTTGGAGTCAGGTGGGGGTTGGTCTCTTCTCCCAGGCAACCAGCAGGAGGACAAGAGGGCACAGACTCAAGCTCTGCCAGGGGAGGTTTAGGTTGGATATTAGGAAGAGATTTTTACAGAGAGAGTAATCAGGCATTGGAATGAGCTGCCCGGGGAGGTGGTGGATTCACCATCCCTGGAGGTTTTCAGGATGAGACTGGATGTGGCACTTAGTGCCATGGTCTGGTAACCACGGTAGGATTGGACTCTATGACCTTTGAGATCTCTTCCAATCCAGTTGATTCTATGATTTCTATAACATTTTATGTCATTCTCACAAGAACTTCTACATCAGCAATAAAATGGCATATGCCTCATTTCTGGCTCTGAGCAGAGAAGGGTAAGGAGAAGGATGGATTTCCAGGGGTGGCAGTTTTGTGCTGAGAACCTCCTGTGGCTGGCAGTGCATTCCTCCCCACCGCAAATAGCTGCAAGAGAAAATTGTTTAAGTGCAGCTGCCTTAGAACAGACCACCAACAGACAATACCTTTTGTGTGTGATTTCTTTTTAAATCATTTGTTTAAAAAGAAATAATCCCTGAAGTAGTACAGTTAAACTAGAAACAGACTTTGTTTTTTCCATGAGCTTAATTTGGAGTTATGTCAGTGTACACATGGTATATGTGCTGTTTCTATGATGCTAAGACTGATATTTCTCTTGTATAGGTAAGTGCTTAAAATCACTCCTAGTTTGACTCCTACCAGTAAATGATGTTGATATTAGATGGCTATAAAGAACAAGATTAGTCACCCCAAAGAAATTAATACATAGGGGTTTTGTGGTCTTTTTTTCCTGTTCTGGAAAATGTGTTTATTTTCAAGTTGGATTAATTTTGCATTTCCTTTCTGCAGGGATGGAAGACACTACTTGTGAAAGAACTGAATTTTTAAGCAACTATCTGACTAATGTGGATGATATAATTTTGCTGCCTGGATCTTTAGGGCGAATTCGTCCTAGGTCTAGCAATAACCTGAAGTGTAAGTTAATTTAATTGTACCTCTTATATGCTGAGAACTAGACTCCATCCCTTCCTTGGGCTGATGTTGTACAAAGGGTGTAAGTTTGCAGTGTGTTAGCAGGAATTTCAGAGGGACTCCCACTGAAGACCAAGTGCTTGCTCCCTTCCCAGCCTGCAGTTCACAGACCCCACAGTGGTAGAACTGTCAAGTGGATGGCTCAGATGTCACATGCAAGTTTACATGTCACTGTGCGTTTATTCGTGCACTTTTCCCCTAGAATCATAGAATCAGCAGTGTTGGAGGAGTCTTCTAAGATCGAGTCCAACCATTAGCCTGCCACTCTGCTGTAACCCCTAAACCCTAAACCATATCCTCCAGCATCAGGTCCAAATGCCATCTGTAAACAAAAACTGTGCTTGGGGGATCTTAGCACTGCACAGATTGAATATTAAATAAGTGTCTGGTACCTTTTTTGAACTAATAGAAAAAAAAGTGATTTGTTACTTTTGAATTCAGTACTTCTTCATGCTTTTGGCACAGATGAGAAGCAGTGTGGGTTGCTAAACAGCAGCACACTGGAGATGTTGAAGGATATAAGGAAGATTTAGAGCATGCATTTAGGGCAAATGTTGCTAGTAAAACTTGTTGCTTTTTTGTACCGTGCTATTAGAAATTCACCCTGACTTGGTGTTTGAGATGAACTGATCTTTCATGAGAGCACTCAGGGCTCAGGCAGGAGTCATCTGGTGAAGCTAACTCTGTGATTTCAAGCAGTACAGGCCCAGCTGCCCCTTCCTGTTGCTACACTGAGGACTACCACCTCCAGGGCAGCAGTACCAGGGTGGGGCTTGTGCTGGCAGCACTATGGTTGCTCTGGTTCAGCATACCAGGGCAAACCTGGCTTTGCCAGAAGTTTCAGCTGCCATGTAGACTCTGTAACTCATAAATCAGGGCAAACCTGGCTTTGCCAGCAGTTTCAACTGCCATGTAGACTCTGTAACTCATAAACTAACCATAAGTACCTGTGGTTTTTTGCAGCATATACTACAAGGGAGACAACTTTTGATAGAGGGGAAGATCAGATAGCTGAGGAGACAACTGGCCCTTAAAACAGTTCAGATATACTTTGGTTGAGGAAAAATTTCACAAAAAAGTTGATCTTTGAAAATTACATATTTCTGGAATAGTAGCAGAAATCATAAGAATGTGGTAATACTTTTTTAGATACTGATTTCTGTATGCATTTATTTTACTATAAACTTACTTGGGTATTCATGCATGAGGAATATATGATGGGTGTGTAAGGATCTGTTGAAAATAGTGCACATGTTATTCAAACTTACTGGACTAGCATAAAGACTGAATATCTATGCCCCACAGTCACTGAAAACAAATTTCAGTTCTGAGAAGTCTTTTTTTTAAAAGATCTTTCAATCCTTGAATTCCAAAATTGCTGAGGAAAATAGGTTTTCTTTGGAGGATGGTTGGCTTTATCTTCCAAAAAGATCAGCTTGTCTGACTGACCCCTCTGAGTCATACTACTGGTTTTCCCACAGCAGCATTTTCCTCTTTTGGCCTCTGTCTGCAGCTTCCTAGTTTGAATATTTGCAATTGCTTATAAATCAGTAGATTGAACATAGAACAAAGAAGCATGTTCCTTAGCTTTAGAACTGGGGTTTACCCCCTTAAATGGCAAATTGCCAGCTGTTTTATTCCTCCTCCATTTTCTGGTTCCATAATACTGTCTCAATACTGCAAACACATGTTTGCAATGAATATGCCTGTAGCTGGTGTTTTGAGGTTCAGTAGAGCCCATTTCAAGCTCAGCAAGATCATGCTTTAAGCAACCAAAACAATAGTAATTAAACAAGAGATTTTAACTTCCTAAGATTTTCTTTTAGCCTGTTGTTTTCTCTCAGGACTGAAAAATGCTTCCTCCCACTCTCCAGAAGAAAACAGTATGGACTGTTGCAGGTTTTGGGTTTTCTCCATATTTCATGTCCCTTTAATAGTCCAAAAGCATATCCAGAATATTTTACTGTGGCTTTTCACTTACTCAGCAGTAGCATATGAAGTTGGTCAGATGTTAAAAGTGACCAAAACCCGCTACATATTTATCTTACTACTTCTGTCAGAGTGCATTGCATTCAAATGTGCTTTCAGATTTTTTCAAGGGAAGTCATTGTGTTTGACCTTTAGTTTTTATTTGAAAGAAAAACAGAAATCTTGGAAGTTTGTGTTTTCAGAAAATAGAATAAATATTAAGCTAAGGCCCGAATCATAAAGCAGTGAAAACACTGTCTGAGCAACTGTGTATCACTGAGCCATCACACAGCACGGGGAGGACAGCCAGGGGATCAGGCCCAGGCAGCACAGGCTTAGAAAAAGCAGGTGACAAAGTGACCTGCTTAGTGGATGGTGGAAAGGCTCTGCATGTTGTCTACCTAGTTGTTAGGAAAGTCTTTGATGCTGTCTCCTACATCATTGTCTTGGAGAAATTGGAAGTCCATGGCTTGGACAGATGCACTCTCTGGTGGATGGCCAGACCCAGAGAGTTAATGGGATTAAGTCTATTGGTGTTCCCTGGGGCTCAGTATTTGGGCCAGTTCCATTTAATATCTTTATCAATAATCTGGATGAGGGGATCAAGGGTACTCTCAGTCAGTTTGAAGACAATATCAAACTGGGCAGGAGTGTTGGTCTGCTGGAGGGTAGGAAGGCTCTACAGAGGGATCTGGACAGGCTGGATCTATGGGCCAAGACCGATAGCATGAGGTTAAAGAAGAACAAGTACCAAGTCCTGCACTTGGCTCACAACAACCCCATGCAATGCACCAGGCTTGGGGCAGGGTGGCTGGAAAGCTGCCCAGCGGAAAAGGACTGGGGGTACTGGTCAACAGTAGCTGAACATGAGCCACTAGTGTGCCCAGGTGGCCAAGAAGGCCAGTGGCATCCTGGCTTGTATCAGAAATAGTGTGACCAGTAGGACTAGGGTAGTGATTGTCTCCCTGTACTCGGCACTGGTGAGGCTGCACCTCAAATCCTGTGTTCAGTTCTGGGCCCTTCATGACATGAAAGACATTGAGGTGCTGGAGAGTGTCCAGAGAAGGGCAATGAAACTGGTGAAGAGTCTGGAGCACAGGTCTGATGAGGAACAGCTGAGGGAGCTGGGAATGTCTAGCCTGGAGAAAAGGAGGCTCAGGGGAGACCTTATCACTCTCTACAGCTACCTGAAAGGAGGTTGTAGCAAGGTGGGTGTCAGTCTCTTCTCCCAGGTAACAAGAGATGGAAGAAGAGGAAATGGCCTCAAGTTGCACCAGGGGATGTTTAGATTGGATATTGGGAAAAATTTCTACATGGAAAGAGTTGTCAAGCACTGGAACAGGCTGCCCAAGGAAGTGGTGGAGTCACCATCCCTGGAGGTCTTTAAAAGACATGTAAATGTGCCACTTGGGGACATTGTTTAGTGGTGGACTCACAATGCTGGGTTAATGGTTGGACTTGATGATTTTACAGGTCTTTTCCAACTTAAGTGACTCTGTAATTCTATGATACATGCAGAATACTTTTAGTAAAGATCAGTGAACTTTTAGGAAGTGTGATTCTGTAAACCTTGTGTTTTCTTATGCAAATTTTTAATCTTTCTTATTTTTGTCTTTTTTTCCTTAACAGATGACCCTAAAGTGATTGTTGCCAACCTTACAGTAAGTATTTAGGACTGGGAGGTATCTGTCTGTCCCGCACAGTTCACATCTTGATTTGAGGCAATATTTTCTTTCTCTGCTCACTCTTTAGGCAGGAAAACCAATGATTATCATGAATAAAGAGTGTTAAATAGCATCCTTCATGAGTACAGATCAATGTTTGTCATAAATTCCACTGTTTTCCGCTGTAGTAGCTTTAATAATCTCTCTGGGCAGTGCAGAGCCAGAATCTCCTGGACCATCTTTACACCCTGAATTGAGTCTATTTATTCAGTGCTTCGGAAATTGAAAGTAATCTCTTAGGGTAAATATTTTACTAGCACTTTGAAGATGCTGAAAAAGTGCATTTGATAGCCTTCAGCTATAAGTTTGCTTTTAATAGAAAAAAGTGTTTAAAATAAAAATTTTAAAAAACCCCAAGCAAACAAAAAATCCAAACCAAATTTTGTAACCAGATGGCTTTAAATACATCTGCAGGTGAGCTGTATTTTGAGCATTCAGCTTTTCTCTGAAATTTAAGGTTTGGGCCAATTAGAATAAAATCTTTATCTGTGAGCTATGTAAGTGTGATGTTTTGGGAGATGTTTTCCAAAAGACTGTTGTGAAAATTAAGCTTTCCAAACACTTCTTTGAGTGACTCCCCAGGCCCTGGATGTATGTAAATACTGCACAGAAATGACTGGACTACATACTCTAGATGTACAGTTTGTTTTCAAGACACCATCGATGATGACCTTATCAGCTTAATTTCTATAGTTGAAGATTTTGTGTGTCTAAGCTAACTGACAGTTATGTAATTTGTAACCATTTATTTTTCAGTGTAGAAAGCCAGACCAGCACTTCAAGCCTTACTTGAAGCAGCACTTGCCTAAACGCTTGCACTACGCTAACAACCGAAGAATTGAGGATGTCCATTTACTGGTGGATCGCAAATGGCATGTGGCAAGGTAAACCTTTGCTTCTGCTTCCATCCTGATTTTCAGTCTTCTTTTTCTGAGGAAATGGGACACCTGGGACTGCCCTGTCTGTTAGCATCCTGCTGCTGTTCCCTGTGAGCAAGAGGAAACTCCTGGTGAGGTTCAATTACATTTGGTGCAGGAAGATGTGGCTTAGAACACAAAATGTTTTAAAGTTTAGAAAAATCAATAGGTGGAATGAGGGTAGAAACTCGGACTCATTTCCTCAAGCAGCTGTGTGGTTTTTGTCTGTTTAGCTCAAATATAGGAGCTGTTAAGCTTTGTTAATGAGGTGCAAGTTTATTCGAATGAGGGAGCAGGGAATCTGGGAGGAAGGGGCAGGATTATGTGGTGGGAGAATGTTAGGGAACAAGGTGCAGTGGGTGAATGGAAAGAAAATGGAGATACTGGCAGAGTAGTGAATGCCTGAGAACGTATGGAAGGTTATGACAGGGTGGCCATCAAGGTGCTGGCAGCATACTGTGTTGCAAAACAAGTCCACACAAAACCAGGATGCTTTAGCCCAGAGAAAACCCTGGTTTGGGTTGCTCTTCCCCATATGACTCTCAATATGCAGTTATAAAATATGGAGAATTTTTTAAATTCTTAACTAAAAATCCAGTGAGGAAAACCAAGTTGGCACATATATGTGTAGTGCAAACAGGAGAGGAGTAGCCTTTGTTTATGAATTGTGCATGGCTTTCTGATTTGATATACTTTTGATTTATGTTGTATATTGCTGTATGAAAACATTTGAGTCTTTATGCATGAAGCTGACTCAGTGGATCTTGGAAGATGACACAGCTTTTGGGTCATGGTAGTCTGTTAGGAGCTTTAAATTATGGTAGGAGCTTTTGCCCATATAGCTGCTGGGCAAACACACAGTGTGTTGTAAGTGCCTTTTGACATCTGTGCTTATCTTTCCATGAATTATGCAAGGATCACTCTGCTGAAGCAGTGAATGAGAAATTCCAGTTTCTTTCTTGCATAACTCCAGTGACTGGCTGGCCAGCTGCCCCGTGCAGTCGCTGTGACTAGGGTTCATGTACATTTCAAAGGATCACACTCTGAGTTTTAGGCCTATAAAAGCTTTAGTTTTTAAGAATTTTACTGTAACTGACAAGATGGCTCAGGTTGATTTACATTCAGTAATTTCTTATTAATTGCATCAGACTTTCTTTGTCTTATTCAGTAGATTTTCAGAAATCTTATTTACCAATAATTCATTTGTTAATGTAACTGTAATTCATTGTATGTTCACAGCCAGGAAAATGGTAGTTACAGACCTGATTGCTATAACTCTGGCAGTTTACAAGGCCCAAATCAAACTTTGGCTGAGCATTATTTTACTGCAGATGAAGAAATTAATTTGTAGAATAATCTGGTCCACTGCATGTATTGCCTGCACATGGCCCTCTAAAACTGTAAAAATAGTACTCTGAAACAAGCTGGTAATTATAATTCCTATGACACAATCCTTATTTTTCCACACATTTTGTAAAAAAAAAAAACCCACCTTAGTAACAAGGTGATAATTAATGGTGCAGCACTTATTATGTCAGCTATTTGTCTTCATGAAAATCTTTCTCTTTTATTTCCAGCTTTGTTTCTGCTCCCCATTTTTGTTTAGTGGATGCAAGTGGATTTTAGTGGATTACTTTTGCAAGCAGGCAAAAGCACTTTATAGCATTGAATGACATTTGCAACACTAACTTCACAAAAGTGCTTTCTTAGAAGCCTTTGTTGGCCTTTTGAGGATTGGAAGAGTATGGTCCAACACCTACAGTCTGCAGGAGATTGTGACATGAGAAAGTCCAAGAAAATAATAGACACTATGGTTTTTATAAATGATAAGAGTTGTCTCTTAGTTTTGTACCCTCCCAGAGTGAGAGCAGAGGGAGAAACCCTGGGGATGCTGGATAAGCTGCAGTCCCTGCTACTGCTGTTTAACAGCTAAACAATGCACTGCCCTGTAACCTTGTCCTTCCTGCCCCTAAAGTATGTTGTCGTGTCAGTCACCTTTGAGGAAATTTTCTAATGCTTTTTCAATCTAGGAAAGCTGTGGATGTTTACAAGAAACCAACAGGAAAATGTTTCTTCCATGGAGACCATGGCTATGACAACAAGATAAACAGTATGCAGGTATGAGCAATGCAGTAACCTTCGTGGGAGGGTCATTGAAGATAGAAGAATTTGAATTGTAAAATGTTAACATAATATTCAGTGAAAAAATCCTACCTTTTAATGCTCTTTTATTTATTTTTTTTTAAGACTGTCTTTATAGGTTATGGCCCTACCTTCAAGTACAAGACCAAAGTACCTCCTTTTGAAAATATTGAACTATACAACGTCATGTGTGGTAAGCTGTCTGCTCAAGGCATTGCAAAAGCAGCAAGCTGCTTCAGCTAGTAGGGTTTCATTTGGGCACCTGTGAGCTCATTTCCAGACTCTCTCCCAGTGTTCTTTCCCCAGTCCCCCTTTCCCAAGCACTTGCCAGGAGGACTGAAGGCACTTCTTAAGGCCCTTAGTTTGCTCTACTCTAACAGCTGGCCAACAAAGGGGCTTACCATAGTTTTGATGTGTGAAGCTTGACAGAGATCAAATAGACACCACTACAGTTCATGGTGTCCACATCTCAGTAGTCTAGGAAGGAGGTTTCTGCTCAGAGACTGCTTCTGCACCTGCATGTCTCATGCAGCAGCTCAGGTTCATCACTTAATTTTCTGTGGCATCTGGTACAATTTTATTTCCTGAATTTGTACTGAGGCCATGAAGAAGAATCTGATGGTGTATACAGGTATTCATTAGGATTGTTTCTTTAGTACTGATTTTCCATCACAATAAAACTTTCAAGTCAAAGGTGTAATTCACTTATTGAGTATATTTTTTCCAAACATGCAATACCAGAAAGGTAGTTATTCCTTGTCAGGGTAACTAATAACACTGTGTTCAGGTGGTTGGTGTAATAAGGTCAGCATATTGACCAAAGGTTTGCACTGGATGCTGAAGGGAAGCATTTATAATAAAACTGTTTTCCAGTGTCTTGATGCAAATTAACCTTCTTGTCATGAAAACTATGATACTGTTCAGGTGACATCTGCAATTAGTCTTTTTATTCCATTAAAAGCATTCATTCACATGTTGTGGGCGTAACCAGTATTACAGATAAATGTCTTGGCTCAGTAGAGATGCTGCTGAATGCATCTTTGGAATCTAACCATCATTCATTTTTCTTTGGTGGTTTCATAGATCTGCTTGGATTAAAGCCTGCTCCCAATAATGGCACCCATGGAAGTTTAAATCACCTGCTAAGAGCCAATGTTTATAAACCAACTGTGCCAGATGAAGTTGCCAAGCCACTGTATCCTGTAGCTCTACCTTCTGCATCAGATTTTGATATAGGATGTACGTGTGATGATAAGGTAGGTGTCTAGGATCTGCAGAAGCTTCACTATTAGCAGTAGTTTATAGTGAAATTGTAACCTTTTTGTCTGTTTTGAGAGAGTTTGATCTATAAGAATTCTCCTCATTCTTCCTGTGAAGTGTTTGTGCCCTTTTGGAACAATTACGGCTTTTTGTAAAACAGGAGACAAGAAAACAATCAGTGTCTTACAGCACTAGTTTTGTTTTGCTAGATGCCTAGTAAAACAAGATGTCAGAATGGTCCAGTGATCCTAATCTTGTTCCTTTTTTCTATTCTTGAGAAGAACAAGTTGGATGAACTCAACAAACGTTTTCATGTCAAGGGAACAGAAGGTAAGAATCTGGTGCATCAGTTAATAAAAGATACTTTTGTTTTGTTTTGCAAATTATTTTGCATCCTTATTGCCAGAGCAACTCCTGGTTTGGTTATTTCATGTGTAGTAAACTGTCTTTTCAAGTAACTGTCAAAAGAGCACATAGACATACATGAGATCGTGGCCAAGATGAAGTGCTGTTCATTTGAGAGAGTGCACACTATCTTTTGTTGTAACCAGGACTAAGGAGTTGCTCAGAGTAATGTAAGTTTTTGCTCTTCTGTTCCATCAACTTTAGAAGGCTTAATCTCAGCTGTAGGAGCAGAGACATGAGGAAAGGAGAGGGTGCATGAGGCAATACTCCATTCAACCACATAGACTACATCTGCATGCTGTTTTACCAGCGTTGTTCAGGCTTAGCTTTCACCTAGGAAGGGTGCTGCAGTGGTTTTGACAATTCCTGACTAGGCCTTTAATACTTGGTTCTTAGGGTGCAGGTTACAAGTGCTCTGCTGGTTCAGGGACGCTCAGTTCAATTCTTCAGCGTTCCAGTCGATGTTACTCCCAGGAGGAAGCATCTCCTGCTCTCCAGGCTGTTAGCTCCTGCACCCTCCCTGCTCAGTGCCAGCACTGACTGCTGCGTGGCTGTGTTTGCAGCTGCATCAGGGCTGTGGTCCAGGTTAAAGCGAAGAGAAGGGAGGGGATGGGAACTGCTTTTCTGAGCAGCAATACTGACTGAAAGGAGCACCAAAGCAGTGCTTTCCTCTGCACAGCTGTGATCCAGTTCAGCATAACAATTCACAGCATTACCCTGACCATAACAATTGTCCCAATTAGCAAATTCTGAAGCTTTGAGTTTAGATGTGGGTTTTTGAGGTACCTCAAATTGCATTGATCAGGTGATTAAGGAGATTAAAAAAATTCCCTTATGCGAAGGTATTTTTTCAGTTTTTCTATGGTGAACAGGCAATGTAGCCTATCCTTTAGTTTCTAAAGGTGAAGCTTTTCCTCTTCTTTGTGAGTTAAATTGCCTTTCTGCATCTTTTGTCTTGTTAAACTAATTTTTCCAGTTAATGAAAAGCTACTCCTTGCTGTGGCAGTTTCTGGCACCAGGAAAAAAACCCTTACTGTTGTAGTCCTGGATATCTCAACATCTTTATTTTGGTTTATGATTTTGATGCATCTTCACTGTAGCAATACAAAAATAGGATTTTTGCCTATTTTAAGACATAAGCATTTGAACCAATTTCACTTGCTCATTTATCAGTTCTCTGCTAACAACAAAGCAGTTCTGCTACATGCAAGTTATTTTGGTTTGCTTCATGACAGGCAGTAACATCTGTTCATAGATTTCCCTGCATTTATTTGGTGATTCCCTTCTCCCACATGGTGCACCATGTTGTTATTCACATGCAAAAGAAAACGATGACATCAGCATCTCTTGAATAAAGCAAGTTTATCATCTTTGTCCTTAGACTAGGTTTTCCCTACTTTTTTCTTGTGCCCTATAAAAACATCCTCTGTTTGGACTCAAACACTAATAAAACATGCCCTTTTCTTTCAGGTTAAATGCCTATCTGTGAACTGTGTTAGCCCACTTTCCTTGTTTTTATGTTTTAATTTCCAAAAACAAGCCAAGCCTGTTTGCCAAAAGGTCATCAAAATCAATGAACTGTAAATGCAAGATTAGCCAGGAAATTTATTTTTATTCTATCCCTTTCAATGTTTTTGTCTTTTTATAAGCAAGTTTGTCAGAGTAATCTAAGGACATTTAGCCATAATTATTCACCAAGAAAGAAGAAAAGCAGGTTTTACTGATTTGGAGGTGTCTTTTTGCTTGGAGATCTCTTTTGCCAAAGTTAGGAAAAAGGGTTTTTTCTTTGTTTGTTTTCTCTGATATTGCTGAAAAAAAAATAGCACATTAGTCTTCAGAACAAAATCTGTATCTGCCAAGTGGAAAAACACTGCTTTTGTAGTGAGTGACCACTTTTGCCTCCCTTTTGAGAGGGACTTTACAAAAAATATAGGAAGGAGAGAAACCCAGAGAAGAGTGACAAGACTGACTTAAAGCTACAAAAAAAGTGCTTATAACCTCATGTGTGACTGAAATGTGGACGCAAAGATCCTCGAGTCTCCTATGTTTGGAAAAACACCCTCTCTCCATGCTATGACCTCAACAAGCTTTCAAGTGCAGAAGGGACTTTAAATCTCAAAGGGGATTGTGAGCCTGGAACAGGCACCCCAACCAGAACAATTGAAGAGTTGCTGCTCCCTCTGTTAAAAGATTTCCTTAGGTGTTTTTCAGAGTCATTATCCCATTAATGATCACTGAAAAATCAGCATGTGGTAGAAATCCAATCCCCCTTTTTTATTTCATCTTGTAAGGTTTTCAGTAATAAATGTAAATGTCCTTTCTTCTGATCTGTAGAGAAGCATCTTTTGTATGGACGCCCTGCAGTACTGTACCGCACAAAATACAACATCTTGCATCACCATGACTTTGAAAGTGGCTATAGTGAAACATTCCTGATGCCTCTCTGGACATCCTACACTATTTCCAAACAGGTTAGTGCTGTCTTTGCTCTTGAAAAAAAATGCGTAAAAAATAATGGAGAAATCTCTTTGGTACCTGTATTCTTGAAAATTTCCCTTCTCCAAGGAGATTTTCCCACCAGAAATTGTTAGGTACCCTTGTAAACATGCCCAAATCCTTTTCCTCCTTCATGAGAGAACAGTTTTAAAGCAGAAGGGTTGTATATTTCTTTTTCTGTTTAAATTTTATTTCTGAGCTTTATTCAACGGGGGTTTTGTTTTATTATGAGCAACTTCACTGGAATTATTTCCCTTGGTGACTTCTGCTACCTGAAGAAGGGACTCTGCAGCAAATGCAGGAGCAGGATTGGGTTGTACAGCTAGGTGGCTTATTTTATTCCACACAGGCTTTCCATGTAGTCTGTTGACTGTATGAAATAGTTTTCTTTCAGCTATCTAAAAGCTGAAATGACTTTTTTTGTTGTTTCTGTCTATGTTCCTCAATGCAGGCAGAGGTATCAGGTGTCCCAGAGCACCTGGCCAGCTGTGTGAGGCCTGATCTCCGTATTTCTCCAGGAAACAGCCAGAGCTGTGCAGCCTACAGAGGCGACAAACAGCTTTCCTATGGCTTCCTTTTCCCTCCTCGTAAGTTTAGATAACTTTTGTTGGAGAAAACCTTAGGTGTGAACATACTCCAGGCACACATCCCAGATATAAACAGGCTGAGGGGTTATTTTAAGATTGCTGTGAAAAAATAGGGAGGAATGGTTTCATTTCCCCTTGCTCCAGGGTGATTTCTTCCTCTGCTATGTCTTCTCCTCAGAGGGGCTGCTCCTGCACTAGTGTCACATAAGGGATCCAGTGGGATTGATACATTAATGCTCCTGCACTAATGTCACGTAAGGGATCCAGTGGGATTGATACATTATTCTTGCTGCACTTGCTGAGGACCAAGGGCCCAGTGCCACAAGTTGCCATTGCAGCTGTAGTCCCTCAGTTCCATGAGACGTGCTCCAATCTGTTGCCCAACTCACACACCAAACAGTAAAGTGTCTCAGTTTGGTTAATAAAAATAAAGGCCAATGAAGAACTGCACAGAGTACAAGCTAAAGACAGTCTTCAAAAGGTGTCCCTTTCAAGTCATTGGATGGATACCAGTTTATATGAGCTGGGAAAGTAGTGAGAGTTTTTAATTCTTAATTTATAAATCCAAATTCGATGCTTGCATACTGTAAAAATTTCTGCCGACCTGTAGAAATAGTGATAGCAGAAAATTTGTGTAAATGGATGTTTTTGATTCTCCTGGTGCAGTTGCTTTGGTTCGGTCTTGGAGCAAAGAACTTCTGGGATTAGTAAATGTTCAAAGGACACAACTATCTTACAGTTGTGAACTTGATTGCTCTGCCTTCCTCACTCAGTGACTGAAATATTTCATGGTGGATTTCTGAAATGGATTTACTGGTGCAGAGGCTTGCTCAGAACTAGAAGATAATACCACACTCTTTTCCTGGGAAATTGTTGGCTTCATTTGTAAAAGATTGCAGAGCAGCTCTCTGACTTTTGGAACAGCAAAAATAGATGAGCTATATAAAAATATTTTGAACTGTTGACAGTTGGAGCAAAGATAAAATCCTTCCTTTCCATGTTCAGTTGTCACATTAAAGACAAATTTTGTAGTGTGCACTTCTGAATATTTAGATTGCAGCATTCCCTTTGGTTAAGCTCTGAAGTAATTTTCAAAACATTTTTATACTCTTCAAAATCCTGATATTTCATCTTATTAATATTTTTCTGTTTTACGATTTTCAGAATTAAGTTCCTCTGCAGAAGCAAAGTATGATGCTTTTCTAATAACAAATATAATTCCAATGTATCCTGCCTTCAAAAGTAAGTGCCCTTTTTGTGACTATTTTTTATCAACAGGCTTTGCTTTGGTTTTTGTTTTGTTTTTGTTTTTTTTTTTTAACGTGTGTTGGATTATGAAATGAATTGATGGGAGAAATTTAGAGCATAAAATTCAGTTACCTGTAGCCACCAGATAGTACATGTGGCACCTATATAGTTCTAGGTATGGGCAGGCAAATACCACAAGAAAAGCTTAAGTTTTAAGAAAGGTTTATTTTCCTCTGTGCTGGGCTAAGGTAAGAGCACAGATATGCTGTAGTTCTCCAATTTTGCTTTATGCCACAATAGTTCAGTTTCTGTAAGACCATTCAGATTTTCTTGTTTGTGGTTCAAGCTGGTGCTGAACATACATAGGCAACATGTTTTTACTTCACAACTGGAGCCTGGGAGTGTGCCCTTAGCATGTTGTTGTAGTTTGATTTTTCTCTTCATGCCCTTAGAGGGTGACTGAACATATTTACAACCTATAAAGAAAAAAAAGAGAAAACCGATTTATGGAAAATGAGCAATGATTTAAACCTGGCTGAAACTTTCAGTGCTGCAGGGATATAATATTAACGTTTCTTTTGTCTGCACATCCCTTTTCTCTCTAGTTTTGCCAAGAGGTAGGAAAACCATCAGGCTATTCTGGTGGCATTTTTGGCTTGGCAAGGATTGAGAAGCCTTGGAAGAATCTCAAGAGCCTGTTCTTGTGAGATTTCCAGCTCAGATTTTAGGCCAGAGAGGTTTGGATAAACATCAAAGCCTATAGGAGCCTTTTTTCTTTTTAACCAGAAAAGAGTGTTTTTAGCTGAAAAACCTCTGAGTGGGAACAAGTGGTGATGTTTGCTGGAAATCTGAGCAAAGGCACTTAACTGATTACTGAGTGCAACATTATTGGGGATTTCCCACTCTCAAATCACTTCATAAAAATGCTCTTTATGCTAATGTTAATCTAAGCAAACTGGCTGAGATGCTAATCACAGGAGAACAACCCACCTCTAGCAGCTCATTTTGTCTAGTGGCCTTCCTCTTCTTCACGAGTGTGTGAAGGATTCCCTGAGAACACTAACAGTATTCCTGGGGAATTGCAAACCAGTACATGTGTGCAGGTTGCAATGCTGAGAGCCGAGTATAAGCTCATTATACGGATGTTTCTCCACAGCAGGGAGAATAGGAGCTGACAGTTTTATGCTGTTCTGGCTTTGGTGGCAGTGCTGGCTGCAGAAGCCCCCTCCTCTGCTTTGCTTTTATAATTCACTGTCCCCTCCCATCACCGTGGGCAATAATTCCGTGTCCATCTTTTCCATAGTGCTTAAGCAGCTCCTGCTTTGTGGGAGCTACAAGAATGATGCCCCTGGGCTGCCACCCCATTGCCCTGGGGTGGTGTCTATGTGACTGCAGTGGGAACAAGCATGGAACTGATTCAGCTGCAAAAGTCGGAGCACTGGGGGGAGGGGATCTTCTATTTTGCGGCTGTTTTTATTGTTAAGGGAGATGCATTGGAGGACTGAGTGCTGGAGGAGTCAGACTGCCAAGTGGTTACCACAACTGAGGTTCTTGTTAAACCATTGCTGGTGGGGCCCTCTGCATCAGCCTCAGCTGGGGCTGCATGGGGCACTGAGCAATCTTAAGACAGGGCACACTGGGGAGCTTGCTGAGACTGGCATTGCCATCGCTGCTGGGCAACCAGGGACTTAATGGTCTGAGCTGGCAAGACAAAAGTTAAACTTTTACAAGTTTGAGAAACTTTGTTTATACACACTTCTGTTAGCATTAAAATAAAAAGAAAAAAACAAGAACGAATAGAATGATATAAGTGGAGATTCCAGCGTGTTGCCCATCTGTGCAAGAATCTTAACTTGTTAACTTAGAGGAGGGCATGGTGGGAGAAAGTGTGTCATGCTCTTCCTAAAAGTTGCTGTAATGAGATGCCATGCCATAATTTAGTCATCCTTCATGGCACCTAATTTGAAAATTAGACATTTTGTATCCAGGGAGAATTTAGCTGGATGAATATGACCTTTGTATTTCCCTTTCTTTTAAAACGTTTGGGTCTTGCTTTTAATCATTGTGCTGTATCCTTTTTACAATTACAAAAAAACCCAACCCCAACAAACAAACAAAAAACCCAACAAAAACCCACCAGAGCACCGTTCCCTGTAACTAGATAAGAAAGACAAAGGCAGTGTTTACAGGGACATCAAAAGCCTGTGAATAGCTCTCTACAGCTTGGTGAGGGAACAGCAGGCTCTCTGTGCAAGGCCTATGGCAATGCCAGTCTGGGAGTGGTACCCTGCATTTCTTTTATCACTGGTTGGGGGAAAACATCAACAGAGAACAAAGGAATCTGAATAGGCTTTATTGACCAAACTGAATGAAGATGCAGTAAATCTGTAATGCTTAATATTTGATTTTCCCTATGGTCGTGTGAATGATGTCCAGTGAATTTTATCCTTGGGAAAGAAAAATTGTTTATAATCTTGAATGATTTTGATTTTTCCAAATCTCAGTGTGTTTTCTATCTGTTTGTTGGTTTGTTTTGGTTTGCTTTTTCCTCACAGAGGTATGGAACTATTTCCAAAGGGTTTTGGTGAAGAGATATGCCACTGAACGAAATGGAGTCAATGTTATAAGTGGACCAATCTTTGACTATGACTATGATGGTTTACATGACACACCTGACAAAATAAAACAGTAAGAGTTTGTCTTTAAATTAGTTTGCTACTGCTTCTCGTAGTGATGGCTTTATCTGAAATAATTAATTACCTGCACATTATTCAATTTTGGGGAAGAAATACAATTTTCTAGCTCTTTCTAAAATTATTGTTTGTCAAGACTGAATGCCCCCGTACGTAGGATAGTGATAAAAATAAGGAAATGGCAATTCAGCAGGTAACTGTTCACCTTGACTTTGAAATGAAGTGTTCATCCTTGAGATGGAGCTGAAGTATGTTCCACATAGTCTATTTTCTCTAAAATTCTCCAGAACTTAAGAGCAAACCATAGCTGTGCTGTTGAGTGACATACTCAAGTCTTTTGTTAATTCAGTAATGCTTTCTCTCTATGTGTCTGAACTGAAGAAGCCTTTCAGCACTGCATGTAGTATTTCTGTAGCACAGTATCAAAACATAAGCTAATTGAATACTCATCTTCAGGCAGTGTTCAGAAATCACATCCCAACTATGTATGTGTGTCCTCACACATAGGAAAGACCATGTTGTTCATGCAACCTTCTTCCAGGCAAGTTCATCCTTTGTGGATAAATGTTTGCTTTATTCCCTCAGGTTTGTGGAAGGCAGTGCAATCCCCGTTCCAACTCATTACTATGCCATCATAACCAGCTGCTTGGATTTCACTCAGCCAGCTGATAAGTGTGATGGACCACTCTCTGTTCTCTCATACATCCTTCCCCACCGGCCTGACAATGATGAGAGCTGCAATGTAAGTTCTGCTGCACTACTGTAGCCCCAGGGTAAACACATCCCTGGACACATGAAACCCCATTACTGGTGGAAGCTAGTGCTCACTGATGTCTTGAATGAAAGCAAAGGGTAGTGGCTGTTGAGTGTCACATTCAGCTCAGTAGACAGAAGGATTGCTTCGAGATACCAGAGAAAATATGGAAGTATTACTGCACCTAAAATTGTCTGGAAGAACTGACACACAGTAGGTTGGCAGTAAACAACCTGTAGGATTCTACATATTGGCAGACACCATCAGTGTAACTTCAGAGCAGATTGAGAGGAGGTTATATGCATAGACATATTGTGCTGGCAGGCAGCCAGATGTTTTATTGAGGTCAGTTTCCATATGCAGGTACAATACAGTCTGTCTGCTATGGCAGTCTGGGTCATCAGACAGCATGATTACATCCAACCCACACAGTATTAAAAGTATATGCTAAAACCTTCCAAGGGTACAGTGCCAGCTCTTGCCTTTTCCAGAATGCCTTTATTCGAGGGAAAGGTTTTGGGTTCTGAGTACAGAGATGGCCAGGCACCCTCCTGGTTTCTTTCCTATCTTCCTTTAGCGTGCAAGATCCTATACCCTAAGAATCTTGATGAAGGCTTTGGTCTGGTCAGCACTGCAGAGAGTAACACGCACACTTGGCAGCTGACGGTGTGGCAGGAGAGCGGTTGGGTCCCCCATGGGCTCCAGCACTCTGCAAGGACAGCAGTCCTCCCAGGCAGCTGTATTTAGACTTGTCCTTCCGCCTGAACTTGTTCTCCCGTTACACAGCTGTGTGGATTCCTGCACACAGACGCTTCACTATAGGCTGCCAGGAGACCGTTTCCTGAATGAACACATTAATGTTATGAATTTTGTATTGGCACAAAAAGTTAAGGCTCCTGTTCCAACTGCAGGCAGAAATAGTCATTCCAACTCTGTACACAATTCACCTGGAACACTGTTTCTTTCTCATTCATCAAACATCGCCTGCTTTCAGGTCCCTCTTTTTAAAACCATGCTTTTGGAGCAGTATCCCCCTCTCTTGAGCAGGTCTGGCTTTCCCCTGTTTAGACTCTCAACTGCTTTGGGCAGAGATGTCTTCCACTAGAAGTCTCAGAAGGTCCTACATATATTTCATAGTGGGTTTTCTCTGGACTGCTTCCCCCTAATCAAGATCCAGTTGGTGATCTGGAAGTGACTAATCTGGCAGTTATTAGTGACTCTGCCTGTATGTAATTTTATGACAAAGGAATTTATTTTTTCCTCCCTATATTGTATGTCACAATCCTCTTAAACTGCTGATATTTTTTATGAGCTGTTTACAATAAAGGCTTCATTTAGTCTTTGATTTCTTACCTTTCAAACTAGATTTCTTTTCTCTGTATGTATTTATGTGTATGTATTTATGATTCTGAGAGGAACTTCAGTGCTACTACAAGGCCATTAGTAGATATTGGTCTATGCTTTTTATGTAGAAAAAACCCACTCCAAAAATATTTGAATGTTGCTCTTGAATGAAAATACAGTTAGGCAAATTTTCGCCATTCAAATACAGTGTCAGTTTTACTTTTGCAAATGGTGTTCCATTTTATTTGTTCAAAGAAGTGGTTGTGTAAAACCTCACCATACCTCATGGAAGAAAAGCATAGGCTAATACAAGAATTTTACCTTAACCTCTCCACAGTTTCCTTTTAAGATCTGAAGAAATATTAGCTTTCTCACCACTCTGCTCTAGCTGCACACGCTTTCTTTCTCTTCACACAGCCGTTGGAGAACACCACTACTCTTCTCATTTGAATTTGTTCCATTTCTAAACTGTGTTTATTCATGGTGAGGTTATACCCATTTATTCTTATGTCAACATTTTTCTATGGCTTAAATAGCCTTTCACTGGGCTTCTTTGGGATTTACCTTAGTGATGATTTATGATGCTACTCAAGGCATATACTCCTCTCTACTCATGGGCGACGCAGGGTCTTTTTTGCTCTTGTAAGAGAGGAGAGGCACATTAGTGGCCATCCTATGCATCTCTTCCAGTCCAATTGTTGTCGGGTTTTTTTCCTGGATCATGAATGAAGTAAAAGTACTGCAGTTCAGATCTCAAAATTAAAATGGACACAACTCCTGATACTATCTAGGATTTCCTCTTTTCATAGCTGTGTTATAATGGTGGCTCACATTCATGCACAACCAGTACACCCAGGTCCTTCTCTTCTGCATGTTAATTCAGATAACCCAATTTCATACTGTGCCAGGGACTCCTGCATCTGCATCCTCTGCTATGCTATTCCAGGCTTCCTCTGCATTGGCAGGACTTCCTGATTGTTGTGGCTTTTTGCTACCACACTAATGACCTCGGCACAAGAAGCATGTGTGAAAATATTACACAAAATCCTTTCTAAGACCAAAGCTCAAGGAAACCCTACTAGAAACTTCTGTCAGGTCACTATTATCCCTTTCAGCAAAACCTTTAAATTTCTTCTAATAAGCAACTTCCTCACTCACCTGTCTATATGCGTTGTATCCAGCTTTCCAGCTAATAATTTGATATTCAGAGAGATTCTTGTCCTAAACATCTGGTACCTTTTCCACTGGATTTTAGGTTGTCCTTCTAATTGATTCCCTATTTCTATTTACCTCCATATTTTCAATTGTTATTTTTTTCCTTCTAAGACTCACTGTGCTATTGAGGTTTCATGGGCCAGTTGTGGAATGGAAAAACTAAAACCTAGATCAGTTGATTGATTTTCTGGGGTCATGCAAGTGCTGTCTTGCTGGACTTGATTTAAACCAACCTCACAGCCCTGTGATTTGTTCATGTTGCAGGTCCTGTGGAAACTGCTTGTATTCAAAAAAAGTGAGATTAGTAGCTCACTTTGGACTTCCTTCTGAACTCTCCAAAATGCAGATTTCCTGCTCAGAAGGAAGCCTTAAGAAAACAAAAAAATGTTACAGTTGACTGCATTTTCAATAACAACCCTGTTGAGGCCATTTGCAGACCAACAAACTGATTGCCAGTCTGAAGGCTGAGCAGGAGACTTCCTGCGGCCACGTGCTGCCGGGTGGCA